CCCCTGTCACTGTGAGGACCTGGTGCCCCCGTGAGCCTCCAATGGCTCTGCTGTTGGCTTTAGCCAGACACTAAATCATTCAGTGTGCACCTCCAAAACCCCGGCTCTGACACACGCCCATCCTGAGTGGGGCGGAGAGGCCGGCCCCTGTTCTAGGTGGCAGCTGCGGAGGAACACGGCTGGGCGCGGTGTCTCCCAGGGCCCGGGCTCTTCCAGGCCTCCTCCCCTTGACAGCGAGCACTGTCTGAGCGCCACTCAGCATTCACACAAGAGTCAAAGGCCCGCCGGCAGGCGGGGAGGCTGAGGCAGGAGGCTCACAGGCTCAGACTCCCGGACAGCTGGAGACCCTGCTTCACAGTTAAAAACAAATTAGTAGAAAAGGCTGGGAATTGGGGCTGGGGATTTAGCTCAGCGGCGTAAGCACCTGCCTTGCAAGCAGGTGGTCGTGAGTTCGATCCCTGGTACCGATAAAAAGGAAAAAGGGAACCCTAAAAGGCTGGGAATGACGTGCAGTGAGGGCCCTGGGCTCCACTCCGGGACCGCCACACCTTTATAAAGGAAGGCGGGGAAATGTCACTTTCTGTGGGAACAAGACGTGGTAAGTGTGTGCCCAGCAAATGGGGATCCCCAAGGTCCACCCCTACCTCACCAGAAGTTAAAAAGCAAACATCAGAACCGCCACACAATGCAGCGTTTTTCGTGGGTTGGTGGACATGCAGCGTGCTGAAATATGCTTAGCTCTGAAGATGACACTGTGACCCTTGCCACACCACTGCTGGCCTGGTGCTCAGCGAGCCCACTCCCGGGAGGCCCCTGGAGCCCTTGGATCTCAGGGACGGGCACGGGCAGGGCCAGGACTGGGGACAACAGGAGCAGGTTTCTTGGGACAGCTCTGGTGGGCTCAGCTATTGACCCCGTGAGTGGTGCCCAGCCGTGGCTGCCACCCTGAATGTCGTGTGTGTGTGTGACCACGATGACACACACCGGCGTTGCAGTTTTTCTCTATCAAGAATACAAAGGCCAGTGCAGTGGGCGAGCCGGGTGACTGCGCCCAAGGCCACTTGGCTCTGATGGGCTCCTCCTTGGGCAGGATGAGGTCACCTGCCTGAGCCCCTGACACCAGGCTGGGCGTCACGGCTGACGCAGGCGCTGCGCACCAGGGTCCCAGCCAAGGTTGCCGGGTGATTTGGAGGACTTGGTAGAGCCCAGCCGGGCCTCTGGCCCCCCACTTCCCCCTCACCCTCCCATCCTGGGTTTGACTCTGGACACTGATTTAATTTGCATTCCTCCTGCCTCAGCCTCCAAGTCCGTCCTTTCTCACTGTGGTAAAGTGAACGTGAACAGAACCTTGTGACAGCGCGGCTCAGGAGGCCCAGGAACCACAGCTGTGGCTGGGCCGCAGGCCGACGCCCCCAGGACGCTCTGCTGTGCACAGGGGATGCACTGAACCCCCACCTGGCCTGGCGCCAACACTGGGCCCCTCCTGGGAGCTGCGGCACCAGCCTCTGTGATCCCCCAACCTGCCTCCCAACCATGGCTCAGCAGACCAGGCTCCCCCTTCCCGCTCAAGGACACCTCTAAGTCAGTTTCCATCTGTTTCACCCCAAGACCTCTCATTTATTTTACAGACAGGGTCTCACCGAGCAGCTCAGCCTGGCCTTGAGCTCACTTTGTAGCCCAGGCTGGCCTCGAACTTGCCATGATCGTTCTGCCCCAGCCTCCTGAGTGCTGTGATGACAGCTGTGCCACCTCACCCGACCTTTTTTGGCCAAGTGTTTTTGGGGGCTTCCATTAGGGTTTTAAACAGGGAAAGAAAAAAAGCCACCACTGCTCTGCCCTTGGCTTTTGTCCAGCCCCAGCTTCCTTTCTGCCATGCTGACTGGGTTCCTGTCTGCCTTCCTGGCACAACGCTGATGACACCGCTGACGCGGCTTACTGAAAACTTAAAGTGCTAATGACCACCCGGAACCGGGGCGCTGGGAGGACGCCAGTTTTGGGGGGCATCAGATGGCACAGAGCTGCCGGGAGGCTGAGGCAGGAGGATCACTGCAGTTTGAGGCCAGCCTGGGCATCACGGGGAGACTCAGAACTCCAAATAAAGCCAGCTCCTGTCTCTCCCGTGCTTGTGAGCAGCCTCCGGAAGCTGGAAAGAAGTCCCAGTCGCCCATCAAGGAGCCGAGGGTGTGTGTCATTGAGCTGGTGTCCACCTTGGAGCCATCGCCCGGCCTCAACCAGGGCTTCTCAGTAACAGGGACCCACAGCTGCTCAGGGCCAGCACGGTCACTGCCCCTGGAGTCACCATGCTGCACCCCGGGGCTTCCCAGCCACAGCGGGCGGCAGGCCTCCCATAGACTCAGTCCCGCCCTGGGCCGCTGTCCCTGGCTGGGTCACCTCCGCTTTCTCCCTCACCCTGGCCTTTCTGACCTACCTGCCTGGGGGAACCTGCGCTGCTCCTCCCCGCCCCTTCCTCTGCTCATCGGCCCAGTCTCAGAGGCCACCTTGGTTTTTTTGGTTTCATACAGGGTTTCAACGCGTAGCCCAAACCCACAGCGATCCTCCTGCTTCAGCCTCCTGGTGCTGGCTGACAGGCGCACCACCACACCCGGGCACCTCCTTCCTCGCCCTAGAAAGGCGGCTAGCAGACAGAGGGCGCACTGTGCAGGAGCAGAGCGGGTGGCTTCAGGCTGCCACCCCGAGTGTGGCACCAGTATAGGGACAGCACAGCAGCTACGTCCACATGCTGGTACCAAGGACCTAGACTCCCTGAGAGCCCGCCCTACCCCTGGGGAAGAAAAGCTCTTATCTCCCAGGACACAGGAGAACAGCCACGAACAAGCCTCAGACCTTCCCAAACTGTCTGAGTCATGGCAGCTATCAGGCAGACATGTTGGGACGTGCGCTCCGCACACACGGACCCTGGCAGCACAGGGACTTGCTATGTCTGCCAGGCGTGATGGCCTCAGCATACAGAACCAGATCCTGGGGAGGCTGAGGCAGGAGGGCTGCCAGAGCCCAGGAATTCAAGGTCAGCCTGCGCCACAGGGTGAAGCCCTGGCTTCAAAACCACGCATAGTTCTTTCGTGGATCTGTCTTGTCTTACAAGCGTCAGAACGCAGGAATCAAATCTGAAGAGTGGAACATCTCTGGTGGGGTCCTTTACTGTATGCTATATTCAGTGAGAAAGCAGCCAGTCGTGGCGGCTCCGTGGCTCCCACCGCTGCAATCCTGGCACTTGGGAGACTGAGGCGGGAAGGTCACAAGTTTGAGGCCAGCTAGGGTGTTCGAGGCCAAACTGAGCTACAGTAAGACTTTGTCTAAAAACATAGCAAAGACCTGGGCATGGTGGCCCACAATTATAATCCCAGCGCTGGGGAGGCTGAGGCAGGAGGATCACGGAGACTTTGAGGCCAGCCTGGGCTATGTATCGCGCCCTTGTCTCAAAACAACCAAAATAAACCAAAAACAAAACAAAACAAAAACCAGGAAAAAGAACAATGGGATGATGGCTCCCTTGTCCCTCACCTTCACGCATCATGAGCCTGGTCACCCAGAATCCCTTGATTTCTTTGTGCCTGGCCGCTGTGTGTGGACACCCAGAAGCCCTGGACCTTCATCCTGGCCACAGCTCTGTGTCCTGGTCCCTGAAATGGTTCTTTTATTTCTTTATTTTCTGTGGTCTTTTTGAGACAGTCTTTCAACTATGTCGCTACGCAGTCCAGGCTGGCTTTGAACTCATTTTGTAGCCCGGGCTGGCCTCCAACTCAGCAATTCCCTTGCTCCAGCCTCCCAGAGTGTGGAAAATGCAGGTGTGGGCGCTTTGGAGATTTCGTCACAGCACCAGAAGGATGGATGGACAGACAGACAGTCACACCAGAGCCCAGGTCCATGGGCTCCACGGGCCACTCCCCACGCTTCCCTGGGACGGCAGGCACAGGGGCTAAAGGGGAGCACAGCTGTGACACCTGTGTGGCCCTGCACTGTCCCCCAGGGTAGCACGCGGCCCTGACAACCTTGTGACCTGGTTACCAGGCGCGTGAATTCTAACACAACACAGTACAGGGTCACACACCAGGGACAGGGACGAGAGTGGCCTGGAGATGGCTGTTAGCGGACAGGTGCTGTCAGAGCGCCTCAGCCTCCAGCTCTGAGGACGGCTTGTGGTCTCTGGGAGCGCCCCCTCCCACGGAGCATCCCCTCCTGGCGGCCGTGGGGGAGGAAGGATCAGCACCTGTGGGCAGGCGGGCAGGCGGGAGCTCCAAGAGAGGCCGAGGCAGGAGGAACCCAAGTTTAAGGCCAGCTTGGGCAACTCAGGGGGAGCTTGGCTCAAAAATTTTTTAAAAGGAGTGTGGCGGGGGCGACTTGGGTTGTAGCAGGGTCCACAATTTTCAGTACCAAAAGCAAAAGCCAAAAAGAGAAAGAGGAAAAAAAGCAAAAGAGAACGAGGGAGAGAAGGGGAGAGGGAGGGCGTAAGGCACAAATCCAACTTGTTTTATGTTGCAATTTCTCTAAAGGGAACCAAACCACTGATTGCCATAAAAAGTCACGTGGGTTGAGGACTAGCATTGCGTGGGGAGAACGACTTCACAAACCGGCAAGAACTGGCTGCCCTCACCTGCTGACCCTTCACACGGTGACCCTAACCCCCAGCCGGGCCCCCAGGTCTCCATACTAGTGCTCCCGCCTCCCTCCTCTCCAGCGTCCTGCTGAATTCACTCTGCAAACCCTGGGGGTCAGCCCTTTCCGGGGAGCCCCCAAGTACCCCACAGCCGCCCCAGCGGTGTTGCTATTCTCCGACCCGAGCTGTGGGGTCCCCTCCCCGGCTTGGCTCCGAGTCCATCAAGGGACGGCCGAGTCCTGCCGGCCGGGTGGGGGCAGCCTGGGTGGGGGCGGCCCGCGGCCGTCTCCCTGCAGAGCCCGCGGCTCAGCCTCCCGAGGGTTCCGAAGCCTGCTCGGGGGCGACCCTCCGACCCTCCAGACAGGAGCCGGCGGGGGCGCCGGGCCAGGGAAGGGCCCCGATGGCGGGGTTTCCGGGGTGCAGGGCCTGCGGGACCCCCCGACCTGCACCGGCAGGGGCGGCAGCGCGGACCGCGGGAGGCGCACGTGGGCTCGCATTTGGGGGGCCGGAGGGGAGTGTCAGGGCCTCCGGCCCGGCCGGCCCAGGCCCCGCCCCGCGGCGGGACGCGGCCCCGAGGAGGTCACCCCACCGCAGGCTCCTCCCAGCCGCGCGCTTTCAAAGGCGGCCGGGCGGGCGGCGCGCAGTCTGCGCCATGAGGACGGCGGGCGGCCGGCTGCTCCGCGCTGCAACGCTGCTGCTGTGCCTGGCGGCCGGCGCTGCAGGTGGGCCGCGGGCGGGAGGGCGGGAGAGGGCCGGCGCCTCCTCGGGAGCCGGGGGACCCTGCACGGGCCTCCCGCAGGCGCTGGAGCGGCGCCGGCTGGCCGGGTCGGGGAGCGGGGCGTGGCCCCCCAAGTCTGTGCCAGGTGCGGGACGCCCGCGGTGCCCCGGCGGGGTAGGGACCCCCGGGGTGAGGGGAGGGCTCCCCCAGGAGTGAGGCCAGGGCGACGGCCACTACGACCCGGCTAGCGGTCCCCACTGGGGGTCCCGCACGCTGCCCCCTCGGTGTGCGGCACACCGCCTGGCCCCGCCCCCAGGCCCCCATTGGGCGCCGTCCGAACAGGCGAGCCTCGAGCCACTCCCCTCGTCCAACCGGAGCCGGAGGCGGATGCGCGGGGCGGGGCCCAGAGGTGCTCGGGGCGGGGCGTACGAGGAAGCGGACCCCAGCCCGGCCGGCCGCGCAGGGTCCTGGGGCGGGAGGCGGCGAGGAACGCGGCCCTGCGGGCGGCTTCCCCGAGGAGCCCGGGCACGGGGAGCGAGACCTCTGCGCCCGCGTACCCGCACTGTCGGGCCAATCCGTGACCCGGGCTAGACCCGCTGCGGCCCGGTCCGGCAGGCGCTGGGGGACCCGCCCGGGCTGGTCCCGGTCCCGGTCCCGGGCCGAGCTGCGCGCACGCACACGGGCACGGCGAGTGCCAATTTAGATCTGGGGTGGCTGAGGCAGGAGGATCGCGGCGAGTTCGCCGCCGGCCTGAACTACCTGCCTCTCAAGAAAAGGGAATTTAGGTTTGGACGGGAGGCCATCGGCGCGAGGCGCTGGGCTGGCGTTCAAGTCAGCCGTGGGGACACTACAGCCTGGCAAAACACTGCTCGCCTTGTAGGGCTGAGATTGCTGGGAGCGGAGAGGACCTGTGCAGGGCCCACTCTACGACCCCGCCGGGCAGGGAAGGCAGGGCACGGCAATGGCCAGGACTGCGGTGTGGCCCATGCACCAGGTGAAGTGAGCCTGACCTTCCCTGCTGGAGCAGCTCCGGGCCAGAAAGTCCTGGGCAAGCCCTTGTGCCTCAGCTGTCCCCTGGGACAGCTGGGGATGTGTCTGTCTCTTCTGGAAGCTCAGCGATGCTGGGTGGTTGTTTTGGGATTGAGACGCGGGTCTTGCCATGCAGTCCAGGCTGGTCTGGGGAGGGAGATCCTGTATCAGCCTCTGGAGGGCTGGGAACATGGACGTGGGCACGCCCAGCACTGCTGGTTGTTACCGCCCTGTGGTCCCCTGGGCTCCTAGCTTTCCTGGGGAGCCAGGCAGGGTGGGTTCCTGCTCGCTTCTTTAGCAATGCAGTGGTTGGGAGGCCAGACCTTCCTGGGGATAAGAGTCCACTCAGCCCTATCTGAGGCCAGGGCGCTACTGCTGGGCCCGAGGCCACTGAAGCCAGGGGAAGCCTGCGGCCAGCTGGGGGCTATGCCTCAGGAGATTCTTTGTCACTGTCCAGCACATTTTTTCCTGGGGACAACTGGTAACAAAAATTGGAATTTCTTGAGATTAAAAGCCTTAGGGAGTTATGTTCCCTATTTTATTTACTTATTTTTGTAGTATTAGGCTTGAACCCAGCACTGAACTCCATCCCTAGCTCGTTTTGTATGTGGAGACGGGGTCTCCTGAGTACACTGGCCTTCAGTTGGCAATCCTCCCGCCTCAGCCTCCGACAGTCCCAGGATGATAGCTGTGTACCACTGCACTCGGCTTACATTGATTGTTGGCTCAAGATTGGTTCCTGCGTGGGAACCCTCCTCCCATGGAAGGTGCATGGCTTTTTGTTGCTAAGTGACCGTGGAATAAACCATCTGTGAGCAGCCACAGGGGCAGGTACCCTCCCTCACCTCAAGAGCAGGCCATAAAATGTACCTGCCCTGTTTAAGAAAGAATACTGGTCCATTACTTTGTTTGGGATCAAACTCCTGACCTTGCACTTGCCAGGCTGTTGCTGTGCCTCTGAGCTAAATCTCCACCCCTGATTTGTGGTTTAAAGAAAAGTCTTTTTTGATGCTGGGGATGGAACCCAGGGCCTCCTGCGCACTAGGCCGCTCCCTGCCCTCATTAAAAGACAGGGTCTCAGGCCAGGCATGGTGGCACATACCTGTAATCCCAGCATTTAAGAGGCTGAGGCAGAAGGATCATTGCAAGTTTGAAACCAGCCTAGTCTACAAAATGAATTCAACTGCAGTGACACCCTGCCTCAAAAAGACAAAAAAAAAAAAAAAAAAAAAAAAAAAAATCCAGGTCTTTCTATGCTACTTGGGCGATCCTCCTGCCTCAGCCTCCCAAGTGCTGGAATGATAGGCATGAACCATCATACCTGGCAAGAGAGCGTCTTTTTTAAAGGGCACAATTCTATTATTTTGCTTTCTCTGTACAACAAATGTCTTCAAGAGCATGGGGAAGAAACCTTCGAAAGCATCAACCATCTGATTTGGTTGTGAGAGAAAAAGCAGAAGTGTGAATAATTGTCTCTGTTTCGATGACTCTGCTCCTGGTTCAGGGCTCCGGTCCTGAGAGACCTGAGGGCCACAGGCAGAGATGTTTATTTCCTGTGGTGTGCTTGTAATCCCAGCACGCTGAAGGCTGAAACAGGAGGATCTCAAGTTTTAGGCCAGCCTGGTCTATGTTGAGAGGCTCAGTTTCAAAATAAAACACACGCAAAGAGATGGCAGAGGAGCAAGAAAGGTGTGTACCTGGCCCACGGTGTGGCCCAGGGGCTGTGCCGCGGCCGCCCCACCCATCCCCCATCTTGGGACCGCACCCGCCGCCCCCTCCTGGGCCTGCTCACTACCTGCTGCCGGGCTCTTCCCAGAGAGTGAAACCCATTTCCATTTCTCCCTAGTGCAGGCCTGGAGCCCAGGGCCTAAGCACATCCCCAGCCTCCAAAGCCGCTCTGAAGTCACTGTTCCGAGGGTCCCTGCCACCCCTTCTGACAGCCATTGGACAGCAGGATGGCGTCCTGGGTCACCAGCAGTAAAAGCCTGAGGAATTACCTCCAGGGACGGCCTGGTGTCCGGATGCCCAGGGAGGGGGCCTTACTGCTCTCTGGATGTGTGTGTCCGTGAGAGCGTGTTGGGGGCTCCTGGGAGCTGAACCCGGGGCTTTCACACTGAGCTCCACCCCCAGCCCTTTTTTATTCTGACCCTCTGAGACAGGGTCTTACTAAGTTGCCCGGGCTGTGTTCAAACTTGGGACTGTCCTGCCTCAGCCTCCCCTCTGTGATTGCAGGTGTGTGCCACCTTGCTGTGTGACCAGGGTGGTCTTTAAAGGGTTTCCAGGTGTCATTAATGTCGCCAGTCCTCGCTGGGTACATTCTGGTTTAGGAACAAGAGCTCCTATGCGAACACCAGGCTGTGGGCTAGTCTGAACTTTGCTGTGCAGGTCTCTGCACGCCTGGAATCCCAGCGGTCTGGGTGCCACAGCCCAGAAAGTGACTCATTTCCTCTCTTCACACCACTGCAATTGTTCCCTGAGTCATCGGGGCGGGGGCCACTTTGCAGACACTTCCCGTCACAACGAAACTATCCAACTATGGAATGGGGATGGGCACCGTCCTGCAAATTCTGAAGCTCCCCACCCTCGCGCCTCCCCCCACTTCCGGCTCCTGTCACTTTGGGCCTCCGCCAGCCTGATCCTGCCGGGAGCAGGCCCCGAGTTCGGTTGATTCTTCTCCGTCCTCCTTTTTGGGTTTTTGAGACAAGGTCTCCCTGTGTGGCCCAGGCTAGCCTTGAACTCGCAGGGATCCTCCTGTCTCAGCCTCCTGCGCACGGGGCTGACCGGTCCCACAGCTCTGTTTTTAAACTGGAACATCCCAGCAGCAGCTGGCGGGGCTGCTTTTTATCTCTTGGGCCCTCACAGGGATCACTGTGCTCGGCCCACTCACAGATGGCAGAACAGGACTGGGTCAGTCCGGAGCCATTCCAGTTCCCAGCGGAAAAGCAGCACACTCAGCACAACGGCACCCTTAGGACACCGCGCTAGGGGGAAACGGGGGGGCCCCGGGGACTGTCCCGGCCCGGGGTGGGCAGGGCGGGGCTCTTCCCCGGGCCCTTCAACACCTGCGCAGAGCTGGGCTGGTTTTCACCTGTGTCTTTCTTGGGGAACTGAGTCTCCCTACGTGGGCCGGGCGGGCCTCGGGCTCCAGGTCCTCCTGCCTCTGCCTCTCAGAGCTGGGCTTCCAGGTGTGCGCCACCATCCCCAGCCCTAAAAGCCTCTGCAAAGAAATCGAACTACCTACGGCAAATAATGGAAAGGCCGCGTGCTGTGGCCTCCCGGCAGACACAGCTACAAAGGACAAGCACAACTTCCACAAACCGCAGCACCTGCGCCCCTCCTGCCTCGGCCTCCTGAGGGCGGCTACACTACTAGTGCAGTTTTACTTAGCGATAGCGACATCATATTTATTACATGGGGGATCTATACATCATTGGTATATGAAGGAAAGTAGGTTTGGCTCAGTTCTGACCTCTGGACGCCGGGGACTCCGGCTCACCCACAGCGTCGCCCTCCCTGCCGCAAAACGAGGTAGACAAGCGGAAGGGTAAACTGCGCATGCGGGAGAAGAAAAGGGGGCGGGACCACTGCTGCAGAATACCTGCTCTCGTTGCTAGACCACTCTCGCGAGAACTGTGCACATGGATTCATTTTAACCTAAAACGGTGTAAATCAGTGGTGGCTCACACCGTAATCCCAGCACTCAGGAGGCTGAGGCAGGAGGATCGTTGTGAGTTCCAGGCCAGCCTGAGCTGCGGAGAGACGCTGTCTCAAAAAACACACACATATAACAGAAGCCCACCCACCCCCAATCAGCGCAGGAGAGGAGCCCATGCAAATCCCAGCCTGTGTATATACGCTGTATACGCTTACTGTTAAGCATGCAGGCATGGTTATATGCAAATTAATATGCAAATCCATATGCAAACCTAGTACTGCCGTGTAATAGCTACATGTGTAGATAAATGCAAATCCGTATAAGCCGTATGGCTATCCGTATCCTACATGAATATTGGATTCATAAAAGTAAATCTGGTTGTGTGGGTCCATAATGTAGATGGATGGTGGATAGATGTAAATACATCCTGCATAGGTTAGTCTGTATATAATAATCTATGGGTGTAGCTGTACCTTATATACCTGTATAATCTATAAAATGTTTCTAGTACACAGTAGGTACTGTCATCTCAGCACTCCTGATGCTGAGGCAGGAGGATCACTGAGTTCAATGCCAGCCTGGGCTACATAGCGAGACCTTATCTCAAAAAAAATAAAATAAAATAAAAATAAAACAACCAAAAACCTCACAGTTCTTCACTAAGGCGGAAGACAGGCTGACCCCAAGCTTTAATCTCAATTCCTTTTTTTTTTTTTTTTTTTTGTGCCGGGGATCAAACTCAGGACCCTGCACTTGCAAGGCAGGTGCTTATGCCACTGAGCTAAATCTCCAGCCCTGCATCTCAACTCTTGATTTCACATGGTTTCCTAGAGCCTGCTCTTTATCCATGGCCCTTTCTTTGTTTGCCATACTGAAGATTAAGCCCAGGGCTTTCTGGCTGAGTGTGAGCTAAAATTTGTGGTCCTCCTGCCTCAGCCTCCCAGAGTGCAGGCCTCATAGCTATGAGCCGTTATATCCAACTTCTGTCTCATTTCCTTTAAAAATTTGCTCTTCAGCTACGTGATTGTCTTTGCTGCGGGATCTGTATGCACTGGGCTCTACAGTACCAATTTCGTAATTTTTTTTCTCTCTCTTCATATTTCCTGGGTCTGCTGCTTTGAAAAAACTCATTTCCTTTCCCATCATGGTTTTTTCTTGCCTCATATATTTTTCTGTTACTCGGCGGGACGTGTTCTGTCTACCTTAAGGTAGCGGGGTCACAAAAATGCTGTTTCTGGAATGGCAAGGTCACGGCACTGTGGAGATGGGGAGCCTGTCTCAAACCTGCCTCGCTCGGCATAACTGTCCAGGCTGGGCTCAAATTTGCGAGGCTCCTGCCTCAGCGCTCCAAACCTGGGGTTCCGGGCTGGACCCCACTCTAGCTCGAAAGTCTTTGGGGACATTTACTGCTTTCATCCTCCACTGTGTTTCTTGCTTGGTGAAGTCTCGCCTGCCGTGCGGCTTATTTCCCAGGAATGGGACCATGAGGGCTTCCGTTGCGTTCCTAGTTCTTTCCTGGGTGGCAGGAAGTGGACAGAAGTGCGGTCAGCGTCTGGTGCTGGCGCTGAGCCGCCCGCTCTGCCTCCCTCACAGCGGAAGCCAAGTGTGCCAAGAACGAGTTCCAGTGCCGGGACGGGAAGTGCATCTCCTACACGTGGGTGTGCGACGGCGGCGCCGAGTGCCAGGACGGCTCTGATGAGTCCCAGGAAACCTGCAGTGAGTCCTTCGGGCGTGGCCAGCACCGGAGGCCCTTTGTAGTCACCCGGTGGCGCTGGGAGAAGCCAGGGCCTTGCACGTGTTAAGGTCTCCCCCGAGCTACACCTTGTACCCCAACAGCTGAGGGTTTCTTTGAGATAAATTTCACCTAACATGAAATCACCCTGCACTCAGGAGGCTGAGGCAGGCGGATGGCCACACAGTCAAGGACGCTGAGACCTTGGCTTACTTGGACTCCACCCGATGTTTGTTGTTTAAGCGGTTCAGTGCCCTTCATTCTGGGCTGTGAGGGTCACACTGGCGGCTTCTTTCTGGAACTCTACAGAGTTTTCCATTACACGTAGGGCAGCTGACAGCTCATGCATCTGACGCCAGGCTTAATCCCTCTGCTCCTACAGTGGCTGCCACCTGCAAAGCAGGCGACTTCAGCTGCGGGGGCCGCTTGAGCCGCTGCATCCCCAGCTCCTGGAGGTGCGACGGCCAGGAAGACTGCCACAGCGGTGCCGACGAGCGAGGCTGCCGTGAGTCTGGCCCCGGTGCCCTGGGGAGTCGGGCGGGCCCAGCCTGTGTCCCCGCTGGCCCTTTCCCAGCTTCGGGGCTCTGTCTTTGTTTGTTAGTTGAGACAGGCTCTTGCCATGTAGCCCAGGCTGGCCTCAAGCCCCGAGACCCTCCTGCCTCAGCCTCCCGGTGCTGGCGTGACGGGTGCACCGCCACATCCAGCGTTTTGCTGCACTGGGCGTAGAGCCGAGAGCCTGCGGCCCGCCAGGGCATTTCCTGCAGCCCAGCCACTTCGTGGCTTTTTAAATACAGCCTGCCCCTTGCCTGGCGGGGGATCCTCCCCACATCCCAGCAGGGGCAGAAGCCGTGTAGAGTGCTGAACCTCGTGTCTGCTGTGCTTCTCCTGCACACGTTTACCTCTGCGCCAGCCCTAAGCCAGGCGCAGTCAGCAGGTCACAGCCATGACTGAGGATAAACCAGAACACAGCCCCTCGCAGCACGGTGTCATAAAAAGGAGCGCAGACCGCAGAGCTGGGGTGCGGCCGGCTGGCAGAGCACTTGCCCAGCCTGCGTGAGCCCCTGGCTTCATCCCAGCACTTGGGAGGCTGAGGCAGGAGGATCCCTGAGACTTTGAGGGCAGCGTGGGCTTCAGAGCGGAACCCTGCATCCCTCTCCGTCCGTAGAGTGGGTAGCCCTGGGGCCGAGGCTCTTCAGTGACAGGGTGGCTCCCCGCTGTCCCCACAGCCCCCAAGACGTGTGCCGTGGACGAGTTCCGCTGCGGGGACGGCCGGTGCATCTCTCGGCAGTTTGTCTGCGACGGTGAGCCCGACTGCGAGGATGGTTCGGACGAGGCCACCTGCTCGGTGACCTGCAGCCCCAACAGCTTCCAGTGCAACTCCTCCGCGTGCATCCCCGAGCTGTGGGCCTGCGACGGCGAGCCGGACTGCAAGGACGGCTCCGACGAGTGGCCGCAGCACTGCGGGGACCGCACCACGTCGGCGCCCCTGGGGCCCAGCGGGCCGTGCTCCTCCCTGGAGTTCCACTGTGGCAGCGGCGAGTGCATCCACAGCAGCTGGCGCTGCGACAGGGACCCCGACTGCAAGGACCAGTCTGACGAGGAGGGCTGCGGTAAGAGCGGGCGGGCCCTGCCCCATGCCCTGTCCGCTGGCTGCCCGAGGTGGGGCCGGGTGTCGCTCTCGGTGGCTCACGTGTCACATGCCTCCGTCCTGGCGTGCTGTCCTGTCAGCTCTCAGGAGGCTGGGGGGGGGGTGCAAATTGGAGCCCAGCCAGGTAACTTGGGTGACTTCATGAGACCCTGTCTCAAAATAAAAACTCGCAGGGCCGGGGTGCGCTCAGTGGGAAGAGCCAGGTCCCACTTCACAATAGATTTATTTCGGGAATTTGGTGGGGGTGGCGTGGGTTTGAGACACGATCTCACTGTGCAGTTCACGCTGTGAACTCACTACGTGGCCCAGGCCAGCCTCAGCCTCCCGAGGGCTGGGATGACAGGCGTGAGCCACCTCACCCGGCTTGTTCCCAGACTTTGGGTGGCACTGACCCCCAGTGACCGTCCGGGGTGGTACCTCGGGGCCAGCCACAGAGAAGGGAGACGGCTGTGTCTCTGCCGCCCCAGAGAAAATCAGCCCACCCCCGTCTCTTCCAGCGGTGGCCACCTGCCGCCCCGACGAGTTCCAGTGCATGGACGGCACCTGTGTCCACGGCAGCCGCCAGTGCAACAGAGAATACGACTGCCAGGACATGAGCGATGAGGTCGGCTGTGTCAACGGTGAGCTCAGCTTGCACGAGGGAGGCGGAGATCCGGCCCTTTTTATTTGGAGTCAGGGTCTCACTAAGTTGGCCAGTCGCCAGCTCCAGATCCTCCTGCCTCAGCCTCCCAAAGTGCTGGGGTGACAGAGGTGCAGCCCCAGCGGGTGGGAACGGCCCTGATGTAGAGGCGCAGCCAGTGCCTGCAGCCCGGACCCCCCTGATCTTCCTTGTGGTCTCCCGCAGTGACGCTCTGTGAGGGCCCCGACAAGTTCAAGTGCCACACTGGCGAGTGCATCACGCTGGACAGAGTGTGCGACGGGGCCCGGGACTGTCGAGACTGGTCGGATGAACCCCTCAAGGAGTGTGGTGAGTGCTCGGGCGCAGATGGGTTTGGGGGTGGAGGAGGCGCCAGGGCAGGGACAGGCTGTTGGCTAATTCACATAGCAGAGCAGGGCACAGGGGCGCATGCCCGTCCTCCCAGCCGCTTGGGAGGCTGAGGCAGGGAATCTCGAGTTTGAGCCCTGCCTGACCACTTTCATTTAGCAAGACTTTGTCTCTAGGGCAGCCGGGAGGGGGTGGCTGGAGGCTCCGGGTGACGGCTGTGTCCCCCGCCCTGCACAGGGACCAACGAGTGCTTGGACAACAATGGGGGCTGTTCCCACGTCTGCAATGACCTCAAGATCGGGTACCAGTGCTTGTGCCCCAGCGGCTTCCACCTGGTGGGCCAGTGGCAGTGTGAAGGTAAAGCTCAAGCAGGGAGAGGCTGTGCAGCCCGTGCCTCAGTTTCCCCCCAGTGTGTGATGGCTGAGAAAGCTGTTCCCCCCTCCTGGGGGTGTTAGCGAGGTTTCACAGGACACCTTGGCCACAGCATTGAGCACAGGGCTCCCTGGAGGTCCTGTGTCATTAAAGAAATCCAGGGGAGGCTGAGGCAGGAGGATCTCAAGTGGGAGCCCTCCCTGGGGAGTTTAGTGACTTAGCAAGACCCTGTCTTGAAATAAAAAATTCTTTCAAAATGACTGGGACCTGGGTGTGGTTAGCACGCACCTGTCATGCCAGCACTCAGGCCGCTGAGGCAGGAGGATTGCTGGGAGTTCAGGGCAGCCCGAGCTCCGTAGTGAGACCCCCGTCCCTCGTGCAGACATCGATGAGTGTCAGCAGCCTGACACCTGCAGCCAGCTGTGCGTGAACCTGGAAGGCTCCTACAAGTGCGAGTGTGAGGACGGCTTCCACATGGACGCCAGCACCAAGACCTGCAAGGCCGTGGGTAGGTGCGGAGGCCGCCTGAGCCACGCAGGGCCGAGGCCTCCTGTGATCCCAGCTGCTCGGGAGGCCGAGGCAGGAGGACCCAAGGGTGGCCCAGCCTGGGCACTTGGCGATTTAGTTTAATCTCAGAGCAGAACACAAGCAGGCTGAGGGTCGAGCTCAGGGGGAACCCTGGGTTCCACCCGCAGGACCTTAACCTAGAGCCTCCCCTCTGCTGCCCCCCACCCCCACCCGGGGTCCCCAGGCTCTGTCGCCTACCTGCTCTTCACCAACCGCCACGAGGTGCGCAGGATGACGCCGGACCGTAGCGAGTACACCAGCCTGGTCTCCAACCTGAAGAACGTGGTGGCCCTGGACGCCGAGGTGGCCAGCAACCGGCTCTACTGGTCCGACGTGTCCCAGAGGAAGATCTACAGGTGAGCGTGCCTGCTGCCCCACGCCCTGTCCGTCCCCCACCCCCAGCTCCTGGCCCTGACCTGTCCCATGTCCCCCTGCAGCACTCAGATCGACAGGACCCCCGGCTCTGCACACGACACTGTCATCAGCGGGGACCTCCAGGCCCCTGACGGACTGGCTGTGGACTGGATCCACGGGAACATCTACTGGACCGACTCGGTCCCCGGCACAGTGTCCGTGGCTGACACCCGAGGTGTGAAGAGGAGGACTCTTTTCCAGAAGAAAGGCTCCAAGCCCAGGGCCATTGTGGTGGACCCTGTGCATGGGTGCGTGTTGCCAAAGCTCGGGGCGTGGCGGGGACAGAGGGCAGAGCCATAGAGTCCCACAGCTGGTGGCACTTAGGGACGACTGTGCCTTGGGTCAGTGGTGCTTGGCCTGAGCTTCAGGAAGAGTCTGAGCAAGGTGCAAGGCGTCAGGAAAGAAACTGGTAGCACTTGGGAGGCTGAGGCAGGAGGATCACCACGACTCCCAGGCCAGTTTGGGTGATATACATAGGAAGGACCTTGTTTCCAAAAAAAAGGACAAATCCTGTGAAAACTGGACTTCTGGGGGCTCCCAGCAGAGCCTGACTCCCAGTCTGGGCCTGGCTCTTTCGGCTAGGCAGACAGGGACCTGTTCCACTGAGGGGCCTCAAAGCCACCCTCCCTGTTGTCCCACCAGCTTCATGTACTGGACAGACTGGGGGACCCCCGCCAGGATCGAGAAAGGGGGCCTGAATGGCGTGGACATCTACTCGCTTGTGACAGAAAACATCGAGTGGCCCAATGGCATCACACTGGGTACGTTCACAGGATGGCTGTCCCTGCCGGAGTTGGACACCATCTGGGGACCCAGCAGAGTCCCAGCGGCTTCTAAGCCAGCCCAGGCAGCACTCACAATGTCCCCTCCCCGGCTAGGAGAGTCACCGGGGTGGGAGGAGGCCTTGGGTCAAAACCCTGGTGTAGCCTTTAGGGTGACCATGTGGATGGAGCTGCTTTTTGTAAGTCCTTTGCAGGCTTTATACATGGAAGGCAGATGACCCAGCTGAAAGCTACAGTTTTCACCTGATAGCTGCCAGTACCATGGAATGTTCTAGAACTTTCTGGAATGTTCTAGAACTTTCTGGAATGTTCTAGAACTTTCTAGAATTTGGGGGCCTGGCTGATGAACCTCTCATTCTAACCTCTGGTATCCACATGTAACCATTCTTTGTCCACTTGGGTGTTTTATTTTAATTAATTAATTTCTTTATTTTCACCTGTACATTTTAGATCTCTCCAGCAGCCGCCTGTACTGGGTTGACTCAAAACTGCATTCCATCTCCAGTATTGACGTCAATGGCAGAGACAGGAAGACCATCTTGGAGGATGAGAAGCGGCTGGCTCACCCCTTCTCCTTGGCCATCTTTGAGGTAAGACCTGGAAATTGCAGAGAAGTCACAGCTGTGGTTGACACAGTCTGGGTATCAGGTGTAAACTAAAAATACAGTGAGCGGTTGGAGTTCTTAAACATTTTTTACAGTAAAGGACACATTGCTTTCATCCCTCTCACTGTCCTCCCTGTCACTTCAAACACACTTAGCCATCTTGTCACTTTTATGGTTTTTGAGACAGGTTCTCATTCTGGGGTTCACCTTGAACTCAGTATGTAGCCCAGGCCAGCCTTGAAGTTACAGCGATCCTCCTGCCTCAGCCTCTAGAGTCCCCGGGTAGTCTCTCCATTTCTGAAGCAGTTCTGGGAAGCCTCTTCAGATAGCTGCGGTGTCATGGCTGCTTTGATGTCCTGAATCAATTCAAAATGTTACCACTTTGTGGTCATTATGACTTTAAGAGCCAGAAGTCCCACAATGCTGGATGGAATAAATAAGGTGGATAAGGACACAGTGTGGTATATACAGTCTCAGCACCTATGAGGCTGAGGCAGGAAGACCTCATTCAAGGCTGCAACACAGGCTACATCGAGCTTGGACCGTTAGGACACTGCGTCTGTGTGATCCCACTTAGCTGGCGTCCCTATAGGTCAGATTCACAGACACAGCAGACACAGTGGGGGTGTCAGGCTGGGAAGGGGCTTTCCTGTTTCTAATGGGGTCAGAGTTGTAGTTTGGAGTGGAGATGGCTGAGGGGTGGTCGTCCAATGCAAGTGTGGCACCCTTCCACATGTTAGGATGAAGCCGGACACCACTGTGCACGCCTGTGACCCCTGCTACTCAGGAAGCTGAGGCAGGAGAATTGTAAGTTTGAGATTAGCCTGGGCCACTTAGCAGGGCCTTTTTAGTTTTCATTTTGAAATGAGCTCTGTGGAGGGTGCTTGCCAGGCATGCACAAGGCTCTGGGTCCTGTCTTCAAGACGAGGAAACAAAATAAAAAGTTTTAAAAGATTAAGATGGTAAATTGTGTGTCACCTGTGTTTTAGCACAGTTATAAAGCAAAACAAGAAACTGCTACCAGCTAACACTGGGAATTCTTCTAGAAGGACCCCAAAGATTGGGGGACCCTGGTCTGTGTCCTAGCTCAGTGGTTAATGACATTTATCATCTTCCTTAATTCCTCCTCAGGACAAAATATTCTGGACAGATATCATGAATGAAGCTATTTTCAGTGTCAACCGCCTTACAGGCTTGGATGTTCATTTAGTGGTTGAAAATCTGTTATCTCCTGAAGACATTGTCCTGTTCCACAATGTCACACAGCCGAAAGGTATGGAAGGATTGGCTATATCCTCCACTCTCCACACTTATCTGCAGTGCCCTGGAATTTTCTGGAACATGTTCTAGAATCTTCTGGATTTTCCTAGAATGTTCCAGAATTTTCTCCCTCTTGCTAGAATGTTCTAAATTTTTCTTGGAATGTTCTAGAATCCTCCAGTCTAGCTGATGGTGTCTCAGTGTCTCCTTGACTTGTCTCTTCTCCCACCCCAGGGGTGAACTGGTGTGAAAGTACCGCCCTCCCCAATGGAGGCTGCCAGTACCTGTGTCTACCAGCCCCACAGATCAACCCCCACTCCCCCAAGTTCACCTGTGCGTGCCCGGATGGGATGGTGCTGGCCCAGGACATGAGGAGCTGTGTCACAGGTAGGGCCACACGTGTCACTTCATGGCCCATGACTGGAACCTCCTGAACCCTGTGCTCCTCTGTCCAGGGGAAGGTGAGGCTGTGAGTTCAAGGCCAGCCTGACGTGCACAGCGAGACCCTGCTCAGACAAAGTAAATTCCAGCCCCCAGGAAATGCTTTTTTATCCCCACAGAGCCTGAGTCTGTGACCACCCCAGTGCCACCCGGCACCAGGCCGGAAGTCAGCACCACGGCTGTCAGGCCTAAGCAGGCGGGAGAGCAGCCTGCACCCACCACACCCAGGCGGCCTGAGTCCACTGCTGGGCTCACCACAGCGGAGTCAGTGACCAGGTCCCAAGGTAAGGGCTGGGTCCCCAAGCATTGACCCTTGGGAGGCCGTGGCGGAGTCAGGCTCCCTTCACACCTGCCTCAAACTGGGCCTGTGCCTCTTGGCAACCTTAATTGCTCTGCCTGTAAAATGGGTCTAATGTTAGCCAGGCACAGTGGCATATGCTTGTGATTCCAGCTGCTCGGAAGGCTGAGGCAGGAGAATCACAAGTTTGAGGCCCAGCCAGATGTGGTGGCACATTTCTGTAACCCCAGCACTCAGGAGGCTGAGGCAGGAGGATTGCAAGTTCGAGATCAGACTAGACTACAAAGTGAGCCAAAAGCCAGCCTAAACTGCATAGAGACCCTGTCTTACAAAGACAAAAAAGGCCGGGGATTTAGCTCAGTGGCGTAAGTGCCTGCCTGGCAAGCACAAGGTCATTAGTTTGATCTCTGGTTCCAAAAAAAACCCTACAAAACAAAAACACCCCAAACAACAAGACCTTTGAGGCCAGCTTGGGCGACTTAGCCAGACCCTGTCTCAAAATAAAGTCATACAAGGGGCTAAGGATGTAGCTCAGTCCTACAGAATCCTTGAGTGTGACCACAAAAGAAGTAATCAACACATAAGTATACATGAATGTAATAGATGATCCTTAGAGGACTGGGAATTCAGGCCCGCAGGCCTGGGGCCACACCTTTTCCCCACATCTTTTCTCGATACTTTTGTTTCTTTGCTTTGATTTGTGAGGCAGGGTCTCTCTAGTCTTGGCTGGAGGTCCTCCTGCCTCAGCCTCCTGAGTGCTGGGGTTACAGGTGTGCGTCAGTTCTCCCAGTGGGTGCGTGTGGCTTCTATACAAAGATGATGCCTTTTACATAAGGGACTTAGGCATCTTTGGGGGGCTTGGGTGCCCAGGGACCGCTGCAGTCTGCGTTGGCAGAGCCCGATTTGTCTGAGAATTCATCAGTAGTTCGGGCTCCTGGCCAGCAGGGGGCGCCTGCCCTCCATGAAAAGCCTGGGCAGCGGCCCTGCCTTTTCTAGCAGGAAGAGGGAGCCTCAGATCCCCCCACCCCACCCCATTACCTGAAACCTTGGGGGCGCTGGGTTTGCAGGTGGCTGAGCGGCCTCACCCCAGGGATGGGAGCCCGCCATGCAGCCCAGGGGAGGTCGCGGCAGGAGGATGGCCAGGGTAGCGAGGTGTGCCAGGCCTTTACCCTGTGTGACTGTTAACCCCTGTGTGTGCCCACTTGGTCTCACTGTGACCCTTTCCCCCCGCAGATGTGGCCGATGCTGCCGGCAGAGGGGATAAGCCACGTGGTGTGGGGGCCCTGACCATCGCCCTCCCCATCGGTAAGCAGACCTCACGGGGTGACCTCCCTTCCAAGAAAGGGGTGTCCCCAGTGCACACCTGTGTAGTCCCAGCGCTCGGAGGCTGAGGCAGGAGGATCGCTGCGTGTTTGAGGTCAGCCTGAACTGCACAGTGAGTTCAAGGCCAGCCTTGGTGCACAGTAAGGTCCTGTTTTCAAGAGAGAGTCTCAAGGGAAGCCAAGTGCAAACTAGTAGTCTCAGGACTCTGGGAGGCTGAGGCAGGACGATCATGAGTTCGAATTTGAGGCGCATAATTTCACTGCTTAGCGAGACCATATCTCAAAATTTTAAAAAGACTGACAACGTGTGAAGGCCATGAGACCAACCCCTTGTACCACAAACAAACAAATAGAAACCCCCAGGGGAGGTGGTACAGGCCTGTCTGTCCAGTACTCTGGAAGGCTGAGGCGGGAGGGTTGCACCCTGGAGTCCAGCCTGGGCAAGGCACAAAACCTGATCTCAAAAAAAGTGTAAATAGATCAAAATAAAAAACAAGGCAAAGTGAAAAGGCAGGCAGGGTGCTTAGGTCCAGTGCAGGCAGGCTGGCCGGCTGCCCCTGGCCATGCCTGTGACGGCCCCCACTCTGCCCAGGGCTGCTCACTCTCCTCTGCCTCGGTGCCTTCCTGGTCTGGAAGAACTGGCGGCTCAAGAGCATCAACAGCATCAACTTCGACAACCCAGTGTACCAGAAGACCACGGAGGATGAGGTGCACATCTGCCGCAGCCAGGACGGCTACAGCTACCCCTCAGTGAGTGCTCTGGGTCCCCAGACACAGCTAGGGCGGGTCCCGGGGGGAACGTCTCCTGTGTATGTGCAAAGGCCCTGAGGTTGTTCCACAGGCATAGGTGAGGCATAGCGCTCAGGGTGCACAGTGCCCTCTGGTGGCTGTGCAGGGACCGGGTGTTGGAGGAGCTGGGCATCGGCGCTGGTGGGCACAGACCCAGCTGGGGTAATTGCATGTGGAGTTGATTGCCTCCTGTGTTCTGTCCAGAGACAGATGGTCAGCCTGGAAGACGATATGGCGTGAACCTGAGCCCCTGGGACCGGGAAGGACGCTTTCTCCCGGCCCCAGTCCCCTTGACCTGCCTGAGACCACAGTGCCTCCCAGCAAGAAGACACCAAAGGCACCGCGGTGGCACCAGCCCAGTGCCTGTCTGCCCGGGCTCTGTTTCATATATTTATTCGCCTGGAGGCAGGACTGGACTTGGGACTGTGCCTGCACACTGGATGAGACAGGGTCGGGCCCTGGCTTCCTGCTTTCTTTGTCCCTTTTGGGGGACATCGCCTTCTTGTTCCCGTTTTGTTTTGTGGCTGGAGTCTCACTCCGCAGCCCAGGCTGGCCTTGAACGCGCAGCACCCTCCTGCCTCAGCCTCCCCAGCGCGGGCTTGTTTTGCCCCCGTCCTCCTGCACCAAAGCACAGGCCCCAGGGCGAAGCGGGCAGCCAGCTCGGAGCCGGCCCGGCCTCAGGGTCCCCCCAGCCCCTCAACTCAGGAGAGCGTGTACCGCCCCCCACACCGTCGCCTCGTCCAGATCGGGACTCAGGCCAGGCCCGTGCCCGGGAGCCAGACAGGACTCGGGGGGCCCTGGCTCCCCCATCCGGGTGGATCCTGATTTCGGGGCTACCACGGAGCAGCTGCAGCTTACCTTACCCATTCAGTCGCCCAAACTCCGCGGGTCACCGAGGACACGCTGTGGCCCTGCCGCCAGCGTTCAGGGCTGCGCTGCTGTGTCGTCTCCTGCTTGCACTTTCCAGGTCACAGCCCCACGGCGCGCCCGCTCGGGCCAGTCTTTTGCACAGCCCGCGGCCGTGTGCAGTTTCTGAACTGGGCTTCCGAGATGCCGCCCAGGTGGGCCCCGAACTCGCAGCGATCCGCCTGCCTCAGCCTCCCGGAGTGCCGGGGTGCCAGGCGCGCACCGCATCGCTGAGCCGGCCCGAGCCGCCCTTTCCCGTCCACTCACCGGGTCCCATTTCCGTTTCTATGCAAACAGCCCGCGCCCGACCCTCCCGGAGCCCAGGTCCCCAGGGCCCCCAGCACCCCCAGACCGGGTGCCACCCCAGCCTGAGGCTAGGAGCCCGGTGGGAACACCGCCACCTGCCGGGAGTGTGCGGGTGTTCGGTTTGCACTTTTGTATTGTTGAGACTTTTCCCGCTTATGTGTGCGTGCGTGTGATTGTGAGACAGAGAGAGAGAGAGACAGAGATCTATTTATTTTTGCAGACGCCTCTTGCTCCATGGTGGCATTTCCGGGGGGCCCTGCATGGCGGCCCCCGGCTCAGCTTCGTGTAACAAGGTGATGAGTGTGGCCTGCGGGGACTCCCTGGTGGGCCAGATGCTTGGCGAGGCCCGCTTTTTAAACCACTGTACAGATGTTTTTATAGCCCGAATGTCCTACGGTGATGGATTAAATTTTGTCTGCAAGCCCTTTGGCTGAATCTAGTATGTTTCCAATTCTGCTTCTTGCTCCCGCCAGCTGGGGAGGGGTTCACCCCAGAGAAGCAGGCAGAAAAGCAACATTTCCTTCTGTCTTTTGAGACGGGGTCTCGCTGTGTAGCCCAGGCTGGCCTCGAACTCATGGTGATGCTCCCGTCTCAGCCTCCCTTACACTGGGGGATCCAGCTTTTCTCCCTTGTAAAGCTTTATTTTTATTTTTTTCGTGAAAAAATAAAGATGTGGGCTGAGGATGCATCTCAGCGGCACTGTGTCATGAATTCGATTCCTGGTACCATAAAAAGAAAACCCTGAATATTTTGTGCTCCGTCAGTGGGAACAGACAGCCGCCATGGGAAGCAGCTGGGGATTCCTCAAAAGTCATCCAATTACCCCATGATCTAGAAAGTCCACCTGCGGGTAAACACACACAAGAGCTAAAAACAGGATTTTTTTTTTTTTTTTTGAGACAGGGTCTCCCTGTTTAGTCCAGGCTGGCCTCGAACTCATGGAGAGCCTCCTGCCTCAGCCTCCTAGAGTGCTGGGATGATGGGTGTGTCACCATACCTGGCTCTTTTTGGTTTGGGGGTGATTCCAGGGACTGAATCCAGGGAAAACCGAACTCTATCCCCAGCCCTTCAATTGCCTAGATGGGGCTTGAACTTGCAACCTTCCCGCCTCAGCCTCCTGAGTGGCTTGGATTATAGGTGGCTGCAACCATACCCGGCAAAAAGCCCGACAGACCCTGGGAAGGTCTTTGCACACCTGCATGTGCAAGGGAATCATTTGCAGACTCGGCAGGCAGTTCTGCGGGGTGACATGAGTGACGGTGCCCCCAGGCACCACCGGGCTTTGGATCCTGGCCCTGCCCCAACCCTCTGGGGGCCCTGGGGCTCGGGTTCCAACTGGAGACACACCTGCCGCTGGCCTTGCCCTGCCTGGCGTGCCAGGTCCACAGGGCGGCTCGTCCTCCCTGCTTCTGTCCTGGGCACCATCCAAAACGCCTCCGGGAGCAAACATCGAGCGGCTCCCTCGGATAATTGCTCGATTGGACGGACGAATGCTCAGCCGTGCGGCAAACGGGATGAATGCTGGGCGGCCTGGTGCCACTCAGAAGGTGGTGCTGACGGGCAGGATGGGGGCATCCCCGAGTGGCCAGCCAGGCCCGGAGCAAGGCCAGGGGAGGATGCAGGGACGCTGGAGGCTTCTGGGGCTCCAGCTGGGGCTGTTCTGTATTAAAGGAGTTAGTAAAACACGGCCCAGCAGGGTGGCGTATGGCGTACACTAATGGTTTTTGTTTTGTTTTTTTCATTTTTATCGGTACCGGGAATCGAACTCACAACCGCCTGCTTGCAAGGCAGGCGCTTATGCTGCTGAGCAAAATCCCCAGCCCCGTACACTAGTGGTTTTAACACCCAGGAGGCTGAGGCAGCAGGATCGCCATGCATTCGAGGCCAGCCTGGGTCACACGGTGAGACCCAGCCTCAAAACGCAGCAGCCCCTCCCTGGCTCCACCGCGTCCAGTCAGGGGATCCCCTGCCGCAGCAGCTGTGAGTCAGCCTGGAGCCCGGGCTGCAGGGGGAAGGGAGGCTGTCCTGCTCCACAGCTGGCCGGGACGTCCCCGCCCCGCACCGACAGTGATTTTCCGTGATGACGGAGGGGTAAGAAGCAGCGGGCTCTGCCATGGGACTTTCCAGGTCGCACCACCCCGAGCCCAGCAGGCAGTGGCCTTGGCAGTTCTGTGGCCTGGCCCCATCTGGGCAGCTCGTTTCCACCTCCCCTTCCTGCCCTCCCTCTCCGAACCTCCTGCTAAGATCAGTCACCCACATACCGTGATCCCAGCACTTTGGGAGGCTGAGGCAGGAGGGTCACAAGTTCAGCCCAGTCAGTCTGGGCAATTCGGCAAAACCTCGTCTCAAACTAAAAAGTCAAAAGGAGCTGTGGAGGCAGCTCTGTGTGAAGGCCTTGGCTTCCATCCTCACATGTTCAGGGGGACAGGAGGCCAGCTCCCTCACTGGCCTCAGCACTGGGGCCCAACCGGAACCTATCTGGAAATCCTCCCAAGTCCTGCTGTGGACTGCAGGCCTGGCTTGATCAAGGCACCACCCACGCCAGCATCCTAGGTACTGCCCATACCTTGATTTCCTGGGGTTCTAACCCTTTGTGGTGAGGACAAAACGCTTATGATGTAGATCCCAGATGGCTCAGGTGAATGCCCTGGCTCTGTTACCTCTCAGATGTGAGAGCTGTGACAAACAGCCTGACCCCCGTGACTCAGTTTCCCCACCTGCCAGAAAACCTGCAGCAGGGGACACGGCTCTCTGACCTCCTGGCAGCTTCCACAAGGGTGTGGCCACAGACACCTGTCCAACCAAACTTGAGAAGCCTGAGGCGGTGATGCACACCTGTCATCCCCAGCACTCTGGAGGCTGAGGCAGGAGGATCACTAAGTTCCAGGCCAGCATGAGGCACATAGTGAGAGCCCCCCTCAAAAAAGCAAAACCAAATGGTGAACCCTGTGGGGTCTCCCAGCCTCTCCCGTTTGGCGCAATCCAATGTGGGCACTGTGTTCACATCTAGGCTTCAAGCTTGTTCCCTGCACAGGCCCCTGATCAGTCCACTCTGTCCCTGGGGTCAGCTCAGGTGAGGCCACCAGGTGCCAGGCCAGAGGCGGCTTGAGAGGTGGGCACCAGAGCAGCCACAAGTGTCCCACTGACAGGGAGCCCCAGAGCTCCGTCAGCCTCCACATGAGGGCAGCAGCTCGGGGAGGGGTGGCCGGGCTGGAGGCTGTGGCTAGGGCTGCGGCTGCCCGGGCCCTGAGCCAGGCTGGCCAGTGAGTCAGAGCCCAGGCACGCGGTGCTGGGCCTCTCCCCGGAGGGCAGCGCCTCCTGCCCCTGCTGCCCTGTGCAATCCTCCTGGGGGTGGACGGGGGTGGAGAAGAGGGCCGGGCAGGGCACACCCAGCCCTCCGGCCCCAGTGCAGTCCCCGAAGGATGCATCTCCCTTGGGAAACTGAGGCATGGTGCTGGGGGCGTGGCCAGCGGGATCCCACAGCTGGGTCACGCCTAGCACCCAAGGTCTCTCCTCGCTCTCTGGGGTTGGTCTTCGAGGCTCCAGGGACCCGGTCCCAGTCCACTGCCAGGGCCCACACCACACAGGGTGACCCTTCACCGCCACCTCCATCACAGGCAGGAGCTCCAGGCCACCGAGGCTGCACAGGCCCGGTGTGAGGCCCTGTCCCAGGTACCCAGGGGCAGCAGGGAGGGGCGTTGCCAGCATCTGGGGCCGGAAGCCAGGACGCTCAAGTGTCCTACGGCGTCCAGGATGGCCACAGCAGTGTCACCTGGCCCCGTGTCATCAGGATGGGGGCCAACTGCAGTGGTGCATGCCTGTAATCCCAGCACTCGGGAGGCTGAGGCAGGAGGATCTTTGTGAGTTCGAGACCGGCCTGGGCTACAAAATGAGCTCAAGGCCAGCCTGGACTGCATAGTGAGACCCCATCTCAGAAAGATAGAAAAAAAGAAGGAAGGAAGGGGATAGAGGGGAGGGAAGGGGAGAGGAGGGGAGGGGAAGGGAGGGTCAGGGCCCCTCCACCTGATACTTCAGAGTCGCGTGTAAGCCAAGGGCAGAGATACCGGAAAGCCCCTGGCACGGGTCCGCCGGCTCCCTACAGCTGTGTGGGGCGGCCCTGAGGCCACAGCGGGAGGAGGAGGCGGCAACCAGCCCGTTACGTACAAACAATTTTATTACTAGCTTTCCCCTGCCTTTCGAGACCGGGTCTTGTAAGTGGCGCTGGCTGTCCTCACCCTCGCCGCGATCCTCCTGCCTCAGCCTCCCGCCACGCTCAGTGCGTACGGGTCACACCTGATCCCACCACCGGCCACTTGCTGCCCTCCACAGCCGCCTCCCGCCGCTGGACGGGACGGTCCCTGCTGCCCCCGGCTACCACTCGGTGTCCACCAGGCTCCAGAGGTAGTCGCTGATGAACTGCTTGGAGAGCTGGGCGCTGTCCAGGTGGATGGGCTGGGCCACGCTGGGGCCGTGGTGGACTGGGGCACAGAGGCAAGGAAAACGGCGCGTGCCCCTTCCCGTCCCCAGCCCTTTACTTTTGGGAGCCAGGGTCAGTCACTAAGCCGCTCAGCTGCGCATGGATCCTCCCGCCTCGGCCTCCCAGAGCGCTGGGATGACAGGCGAGCGCCATCGCTTCTGGCTTATCTGTTTAGTTTTGGTGCTGGCGATTGAAACCACAGCCTGGTGCTTGCTAGAATCATGCTCTGTGGCTCGGCCACCAGCCAAGACTTATGTTTGTTTTTTTTAATGTAAACTCTTTAGGTCATTTTTGTATTCCCAGCTACTCAGGAGACTGAGGCAGGAAGATAGCAGCTTTGAGGCCAACCCGAGAAAGTTAGGTTTTCTAGTTTGGTTTTGTTTTCTTTGAGGCAGGGTCTCCTGTGCAGTGCAGGCCGGCCTTGAGCTCACTGTGCAGCCCAGGCTGGCCTTGGACTCGCAGTGACCCTCCTGCCTCAGCCTCCTGTGCTGGGATGACACGTGTGCGCCACCCGCCCGCCCCCCGCCCGCCCCTCGCCTGTGGTTGCTCCACCAAAGGATACTGCCGCAGATGGTCCCGGGCTCGGACTGGTAGTCCCACTCTATTTTACTAATCCTGCGGTAAAGCTGAGCCACGTACCTGCACGGGGTCAGGACCGTGAGGGGGACAAGGGCTCCTGGCCCCGACCCCCGCACCGCCCGCTCGCACGCACGCGCTCAGGGAACGCACACGGCGGAAGGGATGGTGACCGTGGTGTCCTCGTCCACCTCCCTCTCCTGACGGTCGAGCTCGGCCTCCAGCTCCCTGAGGTCCTGCAGCTCCCCGCTGAGCTGGGTGCTGGGTGTTAAGGACCGCGGCTTGGGAAGGAGGTGCCCAGCACCCCACGGGTGCCAGGTGCAGGGCCTCTGCCTGTCCTTTCTTGTGTTGTTTGAGACTCACTCACGGTGACCCTCCTGCCTCGGCCTCCCGAGCGCACCCCCGCGCTGCCCGGAAGGATATTGCAGCCTGGCCTGCAGGATGGCGTCCTCCTCCCCTGCCTTCTGGAGCTCGGCTTCCAGCCGCTGCAGCTCAGCACCGCCCTGGCACACGCGCTCCTTGGCATCCAGAAGGCTCTGGGCCACCTTCTCCTCCTCGGCCAGCGTCTCTGCAGCAGCGAGAAAGAGGAGGCTCCCTCGGGTCCACCCGCCCCCCAGAGGAGAGGGGAGTCACCAGCCCCGTCTCCTAGCAACACCAGAGTCATCGCCTGCAGCCGCGTGCCCAACACCAACCAGTGTCCCTAATCCAGCCTGCTGGCTGCGCCAGGGGTTGTCAACACGCCTTTCAACACATTTAACTGGTAACAGGCACAGGGCACAGGCCACGGAGCCGTGCGCCTGGAATCCCAGCACCTGTGAGGCCGAGGCAGGAGGGTCTCTAATTCGAGCCCAGCCTGGGGGACTCAGTGAGACTCGTCTCAGAATAGAATTTAAAAGGCTGGGGGGGGGGGTGCAGCTCAATGACAAGACACAAACCCTGAGGGTCAGGAGGCCCCCGGACTGACCTAGGACAGGTGAAAGTGACAGCAGGAGGCTTCGGGGTCTGTTTCCACATCCAGTCCACCCTCCAACCTGCAGCACTGGGCAGCCACCTCTGCACGCCGCCCCTCCTCATGGGGACCCTCTGTGCCCCAGCCCCACCCCGCTCATGTTTGTTTGTCACTAACCCGCCCATCTGTTCTGCTCTCCGCCCTGACAAGCAGTGTTCTCAGCCAATGTAAGTTGTGCCCCTGCTCCAACAGTGTCCTGGCCCCCAGTGCCTCAAGGGTCGTCCTGCTTCAGCCTACCACACTGGCTGCCCCTTCACAATCATCAGCCGACCCTGCCTCTTTCGCTCTGCTTAAGTCTGCAAAGACCCCCGTGTTGACATTCCCAGGCCTGCGTCTTCCTGTCCTCCGTGGCATGGCCCCGATTTCCTTCCCAGGCACACCTGAACCCAGCCTTCAAGATCCCCCGGGTTGGGGCTGGGGATTTAGCTCAGCGGCATAAGCACCTGCCTGGCAAGCAGGCAGTCGTGAGTTCGATTCCCGGTACCGGTAAAATGGAAAAAAGCCAAAAAAGATCCCCTGGGTAGGCCGAGTACAGCAGCGCACAGCTGTAACCCAGCTACTCAGGAGGCTGAGGCAAGAGATCGCGAGTTCGAGGCCCGTTGAGCTACCTAGTGAGTCCCTGTCTCGAAATAAAAAATAAAAAGCCACATGTGATGGCAGACGCCTGTCATCCCTGAACTCGGGAGGCTGAAGCAGGAGGGTCACAGGTGTGAGGCCAACCGGGGCAGCTTAGTGAGCGCCTGTCTCAGAATCTGAAGCAAAAATCTGCGGAGGCGGCTCAGTAGCACAGCACATGCCCAGCACGTATGCGGCTCTGGGTTCCACGTCCACCGCCAGGATAATAATGAGTAATTACTATTATTTCCGTCTCTTTCTTCTCCCAGTCTGGGGATGGACTGAGGGCCTTGCAATCCTCGGGAAGCGCGCACCACGCAGGAAAGACATTCATCAGCGTCCTCCCGGTTCCCTTTCGGTGAGTTTCCCCTTCAGTGTATGGAGCCAATGAAATGCTGTTTATGCCTATTCTCTACCTAAGTGCGGCCCTAATCCTCACGCCAGTTTCTTAAGTCCCCATCACAGCCTTGCATCCCTTCGCTCGCTCCAGGGTTTGCTCGTTTTTGTTTGGTTTTGGTTTTTTGAGCCAGGAGCTTGCTATGAATCGAGCTCAGGCCAGCCCCGAACTCGCGGGGATCCTCCTGCCTCAGCCGCCTGGTGCTGGGATGACAGGCGCGCGCCACCACGCCCGGCGATTCTGTCCGTTGGGTCGCCTGATGCTCCATTCTCACAATCCATCCGTGCTGGCCCTGATTCCTGAGCTCCAGTTCAACTCATCAGGGGGTCGGACTCCTACAAATACCTCTAAACCCAAAGTGAGGTGGCCCTGCGCCTTCGCTCGGACCCTCACCTCGCAGCTGCTGCTCGGCGCCATCCTGAATCTCCAGCAGCCGCTCCAGGATCTGCTCGTGGCGTCCCAGGAGGCGTCGCTGCTGTGCCTGGGCATGGTTGGTCCCCAGCAGACTCAGCAGCCCCTGGCTCACCTCCTCAATGTCGCGGAAAGCCGCCATGACTACGCCAGCACCAAACCCGCGCAAATTTGTCTCTCCGTGAGGCCCGCCCCTGCCCAGAAAACCTCAGTTTCATTGGCTGCTATGTCCGTCAGACATTGGATATGGCCAATCATCACTGAGAGAGGGGGTGTGTCTCAGGGCGGAGGTTGTGGAGTCTAGCCTGATGCGCCTGCGTCAGTCATCCGTCAGTCATTAGTGATGACCAATTAGAGAAGAGAGGGGAGGGTCCGAGGCCTGTCTGATGCGCCTGCGCAACTTGGAGAGCTGCTGAGCGAAGGAATTGGGTGCTGTTTATTTTTCCCTGGGTCCTGTTTGGCGTTCGGGCAGGTTGGAGTTTTAGAGGCGATGCAGGCTACTGCTTCTTATGGAGCTGTCGTTCTACATGGCATACACACAGCACACATAAGTAAATCCGATTAGCAAAGTGAAATCTGCAGCCAGACAGGTTGGATTTCAATCGCTGCTTCACTATTTCCTGTGTTACTTTGGGTCGGTTGCTTCACAGCTCTGTCTCGCCAGAACAGAACCAGAATAGTGCGGAGCTCAGGATTGGCGTGCAGCTCAAATGAGAATGGTGCCTGGTATTCAGTTAAGCATTATATGGGCATCAATTCAAACACACGCGGAACTCAGGCGTAGTGGCGCATGCCTGTGATTCCTGGCACCAGGAGGCTGAGGCAGGAGGGTCGCTGCGAGCTCACGGCGCTTCTGCCTGTGCAGCCTACCTTTGACCTTGTGTGTGTGTGTGGGGGGGGCTCTTAACCTTTTTTTCTCAGCCCTGCGGCTAAAGATAGCTCACTTATCAGCGGGGTTTGTAGCCCAGAAGATAAGCCCCAGAATTGTGCAACTAGAGACTGGCAGGCATCCATGCCCCTGTTGAGAAAGGCCGCCCACCTCCCTTCCAAAACAGCAGCGCGACGTGCACTTCACAGGCACTCGATGGCGACGGCCCAACACAAACCACCCACCCCCGAAACCCAGAGAGCGAATTGCTGGGGAGGGCGGGCTGGACCCAAAGGTCGTTGTGCAGCGTCCAGGGGGAGATAAAGTGGTTTCAGCTGCTCCGGAAAAATCTGCTCTTATCAGTATTTCTTTATTTTTTTAAATTTTTATGTCTTATTAGGACATGTTCCTGGAACGCCGCGGTCACATGGCTCGGGTGGAGCTGCGGTCGCAGATATAGCGGCCTTAATTCTTTTTTTCATCACCTTTCTCTGTCCTTTCTCATCCCTCCCTTCATCTCTTTGACCCCTCCGCTTTTTTCCTCTCTGTTTTTGTTTGGAGACAGGGTCTCCCTACTCCCCAGGCTGGCCTCCACATGGTGACCCTCCTGCCTCAGCTTCCTGAGCGCCGGGATTGCAGGCCTGCGCCAGCACACCACCCAGCTGAGTCCTCTTCCCTTTTGTTGAGTATCTCCAACGTCCTCTGCCCCAGGAGCGCAGGCTAAATAGATCTTTGGGGCCAACGAAATGGAGCAGTGGTTTGTACTGTTCTTTCCACACACTGACCTGTATGTGGGCACCGTAACATGCTGTGGGGAAAATCAACAGTTGCAAATTTAAAAAACAAAGATAGAATTTGGGTATGTGGGTGCATACCAGCACTGGGGAGGCTGAGGCAGGAGAACTGCCCACGGGAGACCGGGCTGGGCGAGGGCTGTGGGGTGTAGCTCCGTGCTAAGGCCCTGAGGCCTGGGCAGGTTCCTAGAAACAGAAAGAGGAACGGCCTGGGCTGGAAGGCCGGATTTGGGCATGGCGGGGACAGTTTCGGTTTTGAGGGTGAAGACTTCTGGCCCAGGCAGCCCGATGGAGCGGGCGCCGCCCCAAGATTGCCCCTGAAAAGCAGCCGGGTGGGGTGGGGGTGGAGCCCCGGCTGGCGCGGGGTTGAGAGCCCTGCACGGAGGAAAAAAGAAGTAATAAATCACGGAGACGGGAACTTTGTGGTAATGTGTATTTTGCCACAAAAATCTGAAGTGGGATAAGAAGCCGGTGAATGTTTAACTCTTAAAAACTTCAGTGCAATAGAAGAGACAAAGCCATTAATCCGTGTCACATTCACCGACACCATCTGTCTTGGCACCTCAGCACTGGACGTGCTCTTTCTGAATGTCTTTACTTTCTTGTTCCGGTTTTTAAATCAGTTTTAAATTTTTTGTTCATTTTGTCTTACTATGTGGCCCAGGTGGTCTCCAACTCATGAAGACCCTCCTGCCTCAGCCTCCCGAACTGACTGCAGACATCTTCCTGTCAGGGTCACTTTGGTCTGGAGAAGAGCCAGAGCTCACAGGGCAGCGGGTCTGGCAGTGAAGAGGATGAGGGCTCTCTGCGATGACCCGAGTCTTGCTGTTCTGTTGGCTGGCACTCAGCAGCGTGTTCACTGTATTTTTAATCAAAATTTGGAAAGACACTAAAGAGGACTCCCAGAGCTGCTTTGAAAGTGGCAGCCAGAACAGTGTGATGTGTATCTCAAGGGAGCAGCAGGGGACAGATGCAAATCTGAGGCCACGCAGAGCTAGAGTGAGTTCAAGGTCACCCTGAACTACACAGCCAGACCGGCTCAAAAAAAAAAAAAAATCATAGCCAGGTGTGCTGGCACAGGCTGGTAATCCCAGCCCTGGGGAGACTGAGGCAGGAGGATCGCTGTGAATCTGAGGCCCAGCCTGGGCTATAACATAGCAAGACCCAGTCTCAAAAAAACCGAAACAAACAAAAAAAGAGGTGGTTATGAGGGGAGATGGGTTTGATTTTAGCATGAACTGAACAAGAAAATAAAGATGACCAAACAGCCCTGGCAATTGCTTTATGAGAAAGTATGCTGTATTTCCTAAAGGCCTCTTCTTGGCTCTGGAGCCCCTGGGAAGCTGATGAGAGCCAAGGCCCTTCCTCTTAGCAGCCGTTCCTCGGCCTCAACAACGGCGGCCTCCAGCGCTTCGCCAATGGCCCACAGCCTCTCTCCCAGCTGTGCAGCCAGGAAACAACACAGGGATCTGGGGGGGGGGGGGCTTGGATCAATCAGCGAACTGGGTCCTGGGTGGCCAGCTGACTTCCCACCAAAAACACGGACTGAGAAAAACAAAACTAAAATAATGCAAAAAGCCAGGTGTGTTGGCACAGGCCTGTCATCCCAGCACTCTGGGAGGCTGAGGCAGGAGGACTGCTGTGAGCTCGAGGCCAGCCTGAGCTACACAGTGGTTTCAAAGCCAGTCTGACTGTATAATGAGACCCTGTCTCAAAACACAAACATGGGCTGGAGATTTAGCTCAGCGGCATAAGTGCCTGCCTGGCAAGTGCAAGGTCGTGAGTTCAATCCCTAGTACTGCAAAAAAAAAAAAAAAATCACAAACAAAAAGAGCAAATATACTCTAAAGTTCTGGCAAAGTAGGTCTACAAAAGGCTATTTTTGCCAAGTGGAACTCGGGGCATTCACTTGGGCGGTCTGTATTGCTCGCACATTACTTGTCAGGCAGGCTTATTGTTGTTGCTTCTTTTCTTCTGAGACAAGGTCTCCTTTGTAATTCAGGCTGGCCTCCAGCTCCCTGAGATCCTCCTGCTTCAGCCTCCTGAGTGCTGGGATGACCCATGCCCAGCTCTGGTATTTTATTGTAATATTCTTGCAGTTTTTGTGTAGCTTTGAGCATCTCTCAAAATCAGCCCGTTTTTCAAAACAATCCTTGGCACTTTGCTACACCCCAGTCCAACGCGAGATGTAGTTTAGAAAACCTTGATGACTGTCCCACTGGCGGCGAGGGTCTGGCCCCCACCCTCAGCTCTGCTAATACAAAGAGCAACAGTGCGAGGACAAAAGACCACACACACCGAGAAGCGCCGGCATTATCTGCGGCTTTATTAACTTCTTTTACTTCTAGAAGAGATTACAAAAAGAGAATACTTAGTGTATGTGTAATACTGTCTACGGATGTACCGTGGTTGTAAGGTGCCATGGAAGCTTGTGGGTGTGGGGAGGGGAGCGAGGGCACGGAAGTTTGGCCCCTGTGGGTCCCCGTAGGTGTGGAGAGAGCAGAGGGCACAGAACTTTGGCTCCTGTGGGTCCCCGTAGGTGTGGAGAGCAGAGGGCACAGAAGTTTGGCCCCTGTGGGTCTCTGTAGATGTGGAGAGAGCAGGAATGGCAGACAGGGGGCACGGACTCCTGAGCTAGAGCTGCTTCCAGGAGCTTAAACTCAATGCTCTTGCTGGCTTCAGGGTTAGACCTGAAAGAACGTAGCTCTTGTACCACTTTTCTAAGTTGCACTCTCCCATCACATACCAGCAGCGATGCCCAGCTGGGTTTGTTTTCTGAGACAGGGACATACTCTATAGCCCAGATGGCTTCAGACCCCTGGAGATCCTCCTGCCTCGGCCTCTTGGGAACTGTTTCCTAATTCTTGGGCACACACACACACACACATTCTATCCATCCATCCTGATTGTTCTCTTAGGCCTCCAAGTCTTTTTCTCTTTGGTATATTCCTTTAATTAGAAAAAAGTTGTAATTGTAGTACTTAGGAGGCTGGTGCAGGAGGGTTTCCTTGAGTTGAAAGACAGAATTAAAGAAAAAGGCAGACTACATCCAGCCAGGCAGACTAGCAGGACACAAGCCCGGGCTCTGCTTTATTCACTGGGCTGTGACCCCCGGGTATAACTGTTTTGCCAAGGTTGCCTTCACAGTCCGGCAGGACCAGCTAGGAGTGTGACACGGGCAGGACAAGCTTGGAAGGAAACTTCTCCCCTATCACGAGGCACAGCAGGAGGCTGGGAACACTCTGCTTTTTTGCTTCCTTACTATGAACAGGAACAGGAAAGCAAACCGTGTCAAGATTTGGAGACAAAAACACAGCCGAGAAGAATATGGTGTGTGTCTCTCTGGCAAGCCCATCTCCAACAGGAAGAAAGAAAGAGAAAGAAAAGGAGACAGACAGACAGACAAAGACAGAAAGAGACAGCCAGAAACAGAGAAAGAAAAAACCCAGCTGGCCCCGGTTTGGTTTCCGCAAAAGCCCTGTGTCTTTAAGTCTGGGCCGGGAGCCCCTGGCTGCCAGCTTTTAATTGTCCGCACATGGGCTCGCCCGGTGCCCTGCCAGGGCGCACAGAGCCCGGTTTATTTTATTCCTCCGAGGCGAGAGATTCTGGAGCCTAGGAGGACAGACAGCCCTGTGACTGGGGTGACTGGGGTGACTGGGGTTCCCGAGCCTGGAGGCTGCAGCCACTCTGAGAACTGGATGCTTTTCTCTGGTCTCTGGGATGGAAGGATTTTCTAGGAAATCAACATTTGCCAGGACCTCTGAGGAGAGAAGACGGATTTCTGAGTCATTTCTCCTTGTGAATTGGTGACATCCAAGTCCCAGAGCTACTGAGATATTGGTGGCAGGACCCGGAGCCCCCACCGCCTGCCCCAGCTTGCAGAATTTGATGCTGGCGGTCATGGTGACAGAAGACACAAGACGGCTGGGCGTGGTGGGGCACACCTGTCATCCCAGCACACGGGAGGCTGAGGCAGGAGGATCTCTGAAAGTTCGGGGTCAGCCTGGGCTACTCAGAAAATTCAGGCCAGCCTGAACTGCACCGTGAGACCGTGGCTCAAAAAACCAAAACCAATCCGGGTGTGGTGACGCACTCCTATAATCCCAGCACTCGGGAGGCTGAGGCAGGAGGATTGCTGCAAATTCAAGACCAGCCTGGGCTACAAAGTGAGCCCAAAGCCAGCCTGAACTGCATAGCGAGACCCTGTCTCAGAAAGACCAAACAAACAAAAAACCCAAATAAAACCAAAAAGACAAAACCAAAACCAGAGGAAGGATGGAGGTTTCTGCCCTGGGTGACGGACGTCACAGTGTTTTGTAAAAGGACCACAGAGAGACGTCGGTCCCCAGGAAGCTGTGTGGGGTGTGTGGGGAGTGAAGAAAACACTATCATGTACCGGGCACTGGAGATGCGACTCACGCGGACGCAAAGCAGATCACACCCTGCGGCGGGAGCCAGACGTGGCCTCCTGCGCTCCTGCCCACGGCTGCCGCCCGATCCTTCCCGCCCGCGTCACCGGAGTCACCGGCGCTGCAGGCAGGAACTCAGCTTGGTCTGGGAGCCGCGGCCAGGAGCCGGGGTCCTGGGAAAAGACACCCCAGCATCGAGCTCCCCGGGGAAGCAGAGATGACGTCAGGGCTTGCGGAGCAGCAGAGGGGCTGGGAGAGGACCAGGACCAGGACCAGGACGCTGCGCTCCGGCCGCGGCCCTGGGGACCCTGCCGGCTCCGGGTTACTCTTCAGCGGAGGACGACACAGGACTCTCATCTGACATCGGGGCGAACTGAAAGGAGAGGGGGGTCCTGCTTGGCCGGGGTCCTTTCCCCCAGGCGGTGAATAAAGGCGATAGTGGGGTGCAGCGGGGTGCACTGTAATCCCGGCTCTCAGGAGGCTGAAGCAGGGTGGTCTCGGGTCTGAGGCCAGCTGGGCTATGAAGCCAGTGACGCCCCCCACGCTGCCCCGCACGGCCCAGCTCCGCGCCCCGGCCCCGGCCGGCTCACCGAGCACTGGATGTTCATGCGCGAATACAGCATGGACGCGACCTCACTCTGCCCGGCGTCCAGCGCCACCATGAGCGCGGTGCTCCCGTCCTGCAAAGGAGCCGTTGCTAGGTGTGAGCCCCGGCCGGGTCCCGCCCTCCTGGGAGCTGGGGGTGGACAAGGGACTCACGCGGTCAGCAAGAGAGATGTCACAGCTGGGCACTGCCAGCAACAGCCCCGCGATGTCCTTGTGGCCGTGCTCGCAGGCGCACATGAGGGCTGTGGAGCCGTCATCGTCCTGGACGTTGACATCCGCCTCACAGGCCAGCAGTGCTTTGACCACGTCCACCCGGCCGTGGCTGACAGCCAGCATCAGGGCAGTCTGCCCAGCCTAGGCAGGGAAGCAACACAGTGAGAGCCCACACTGGTGCCGGGTATGATGACCCCGCTTTTTAATATTTTCTGAACCAGAACTAAATCTCTAAATTGCCCAGGCTTGCCTTGAATTTGTGACCCTCCTGCCTCAGCCTCCTGAGTACAGGGATTACAGGAGTGCGCCACCAAGCCTGGCCCTCCTGTACATTTTAACCCATTCTTAGGTGACTTTACTACCTGACACAAGCCAGGTGTGATGGTACATGACTATCATCCTCCGGAGGCTGAGGCAGGAGGATCGCTGTGAGTTCAAGGCCGGCCTGAGCTACACAGAGAGACCCTGTCTCAAACAATTAAAAGAGAAAGGTGATCACCATACTCCCTCCCTAAATAAGTGAGTTCACAGGGCAGAAGTTTCAGGGGAGATGAAAGTGTTCTTTGGTGGTTAGAGGACATTACGGCTGCCTAAGTGCCACCAAATGCCCCATGTTGTCCCTTTCACCTCAGCAAAGAGCCAAGCAGGAGGGCAGGAAAATGTTTTAAAAATGTTTTAAGTTCGTAAGTACAAAATGACGCTTGGGACAGGGTGTGGGGGTGCACCCTGGAATTCCCTCCCTGGGAGGCTGAGGCAGGAGGACGTGAATCGGAGACCAGCCTGAGGTGCGCGGGGAGATAAAGGTCCACCTGACAGCCTGGGCTGGGGCTGCTGCTCAGGTAAGGACCGACCTACACTGGAGAAGCCCGCTTCCCTCCCAGCAGCGGGAAAAGAAAGGAAGGAGAAGAAAGGAGCTGTTACTTGGGAGGCTGAGGCAGGAGGATTCAAGTCCAAGCTCAGTCGGGCCGATTTCGTATCTTAGGGCTGGGGCTGGAGCTCAGGGCGAAGGCCCCGGGCCTGCACCTGGTACCGTATGGGAGCGGGGAGTCCAAGGCAGGGCACTGTGGAGCCCCTTCCGGTGTCCAGCATGTGGGCCTCAGAGAGAGACCACACTTCATCTTCTACGTCTGAGTCCACAGCATTGAGTGCTGTGAACCAAGTTCCCGGGTTCGAATCCCACTTCTCGTTTGTGTGTTTGAAACAGGGTCTCACTGTGTAGCCCAGGCTGGCCTTGAATGCACAGCGATCCTCCTGCCTCAGCCTCCCAAGTGCTGAGATCACAGATGGGCATCACCACGCCCGGCCCATAGCCTTGATTTTGATGAGGTGATGACACTGCCTGTCTGAGCCTCAGTTTCCCTGCCTACGCAGCAGGATGGAGCGAGGGGGCTGGGGGAGGGCTGGGATTCCGTACAGGGCAAGCGCCGTGCCCGGCTGGGGTGGCCACGGGCCGCCTACCTGGCTGGCTCTGGCGTTGACGTCTCCGAGCCGGAAGAGCTGAGTGACGGTCTCGATGTCGTCCTGGGTCTTGAGGGTGGCCAGGGCCGTGAGCATGAGCGGGCTGTAGCCGGCGCGGTTCTGCCTGTCCACCTGGCAGACGCCTGCGTGGGGCCGAGTGCACGTGAGCCCCGGCCGGGCTGTGAGCACCTGGGCCCTGGGCCCGACCTGCTCCCCGGCCTCAGAGGGGAGCCCACTCCTCCCGGGGGCTGCACGGCCACCCTGCTCATCCTCCAGACTTGGGGGGCCGGGCACAGGGGCGTCCAGGTTTAGGAGAAAGAGCAGGGGCTGGGCTGGGCGTGCAGATGGGGGCTGAGCAGGAGGAGGCCACCCATCGCAGGCCCGGCTCAGGGCCGAACAGACCGGCCGGAGTCCCCTCGGCGAGAGCCACCCTGCCCGCCACCCCTGGACCCTGAAGGCCGCGGCCTCTCGGGGCTCACCGCTGTCCAGCAGCTGCCGCACCACGGGGAAATTGGCGTGGGACACCGAGTAGTGCAGGGCGGTGTTGCCGTTGCCGTCCGCGATGTTGACCACGTAGTCCAGCAGCCGCCCCGACATGGCCCGGAAGGTGACCAGGTGGCGCCGTACGAGCTCGGGGTGGGCGTCGCTGCGGCAGGCCAGACGCAGCCACTCCTGCAGCACCGTGGTGTGGGCCACTTTCTGGGGGGTGCAGGAGAGCGCGTGAGGGGCGCCACGGCCTTCCTGGACACCCCACCCCGTGAAGGCCCTGCAGGGTAGCGTGGCAGACCCGACGCTGGCTGGCTGAGGAGGCTGAGGCAGGAGGACCTCACACTGCAGCCCAGCCCAGGGCTCTTGGGAGTTTAGTGAGACCCATGAAAAGGGCTTCGGTCAGGCCAGCGCGTGGCTGGGCCCCCCCGGTCTGCAGTCCCGGGGTGAGGCAGTGTCGGGGTGGGGAGGCCTGGCCTACCAGCTCCCGCTCGGTGAGCGCGTTGGCGTTGCCCAGGTATTTCTCCAACGCCAGGCAGGCAGAGATGAGGTCGGGGCTCAGCTCCATCCTGCGGGGAGCGCAAGGGAAAGGTGGTCATTTGGTGTCGGGGACCCAAGCGGGGGCTCACGGGGCTGGCCATGTGCTCACACTGAACTACACGCCCGTCCTAGTTATGATTTTATTTTTGTTGTTTTCCCCTTTTTTACCCTTGTCTTTCAAGACAGGGTCTCGCCATGCACTCAGGTTGGCCGTGAACTCAGGGGAGTCCTCCTGCCTCAGCCTCCCCAGCGGCTAAAATCATGGGCGTCCGCCACTCTGCCCAGCCGAGTTTATCTCAGCAGCAGCCTCTAAGTCCCCTGTTCCTTGCACCCAGTTGGGGTGCTCGAGAGGGCTCACTGCGCTCCCCTGCTGCTCATGTGACCCCACCCTCAGGAGCGCCACAGACACCCTAACCCCAAGGCACAGACTCAGGGAGCGCAAAGATTAACAGGATGGCCACACAGGCTGTTTTATTCCAAACGGCCGGCAGCGGATGGTCAGATCTTGCATTAGTTCAGACTAGGGTGTGCAGGACTGGACGACGTGGGACGGCAGGCAGCGGTACACCTGGCCGTGGCTGTGTCTGAATGTCTCCCACCCGGGAAACTGACCGGATCTCATCCTCCGAGTTGGTGCCCGCTGCCCCCTCGGCCGTGGCCACACGCTGGGCCTCCCCAGACAGCGGGCACCCTGGCTGGCCGGGCCGCGTCACTGATGCCGCTGTCCCTGAGGGTCTGCGCTGCGGGGCTGCGGCTGGGCTCGGAGCCCTCTCTTCCGGCTCGGGGGCCTCGTTCTCCGTGCTGTCGTTGTCTGAGAAGTTCTCAGCTGTGCTGGAGCCTTCAGAGGACGACTCGTACCTGGGGAGGACAGAGGCGGGGACGTGGCAGGGTGGGGACAGGGGCACCGTGGGCCTGCCCTTCCTGGGCCTCAGTGTCCCTATGAGCTGAGGATGACAGCAACGTGGACCACGGGGGCTGCAGACGTGTCTAGGGCGCCAGGGGCAGTTAGTGCTCAACAAGCAGGAGCTGCCGGTCGGTCCCTGTGATCCCAGCACTCAGGAGGCTGAGGCAGGAGGGTGCTGGGGGGAAGTGCGGGGTGCTCAGGGCCTCCTGCTACCCCTGTCCCTTATGCACAGTACCTCCTAACTCAGACCTACGTCCCCCCTCTCATAGGATCCTGTTTTGTTTTGTTTTTAAAATGTTTTTTGAGTACTGGGGATTGAACCCAGGGCCTTCGAACTGAGCTACATCCCCAGTCTATTTTTATCTTTTGAGACAGGATCTCAGTAAGTAGTTCCAACCAGCCTTGAACTCACTATGTAGCCCAGGCTGGCCTCCAACTTGCAGAGATCCTCCTGCCTCAGCCTTCCAAGTGTTGGGATGGCAGGCATGAGCCCAGGCCTGGCTCTCAGTGGGGTCTGATTCACTGAATTAACCAAAATGAAAGATGCAGAACAGGGTGATGGGTTCCGCCTTTCTTGGGCTTGCAGGACCCGAGGGACACACAACTGGGGCGCTGGGGGCTCCTCACCCGCCGTTGACCCCCACAAACTGCAGGTTCCCCCTGTGGACTGACGGCTCTGCGGCTTCCTGCCTCCTCTTCATGATGGAGCGCACTCCAGCCTGGGGCCCGCCTGGAGGGGAGCAGTGACAGGAGGGTCCCTGAGGCCACGCCCTGCTGGGCGCCCCGCCTCTGGGCCCCTCGGTGGCTGTGGCTGCTCACCTGCTCCCCCGGCCTCCTGGGACATCGGAGCCACCTCCCCGGGGGGCTCTCTGTCATCTGGGTCAGCAGTGGCCACCCGGCCTGCATTCTCGGGTGCAGACGCTGGCAGGGACGAGGAGGAGGAGGAGGATGACTCTGCCGGTGCCCGTGTCGGGCCTGAAGGAACCCAGAAAATGAAGTGTCACACATGTGACAACCAAGTGACGTTACCAAGAGCGGAGACCACGGGTCAAATCTCCCCAGTCTCTGAGGTGTCCGGTTATTACGGAGGAGAAAACTGACGCTCAGAAGTTATTAGAGGGCTGAGCCGGGCACGGTGGCTCGTGCCTGTCATCCCGGCACTCGGGAGGCTGAGGCAGGAGGATCCCAAATTTCGGGCCCAGCTGGGCAATTTATTAAGACTGATACAAAACAGAAGTGATTTCAGACGTGCCGTCTGAGGCTGTACCTCAGAGGTGAGCACTCACCCAGCACGCACAGGGCCCCCGATTCCAGCCCCAGCACTGCAGAAAACACAAACACAAAATAAATCAGGCCACTGCCTCTCCTGCCTGCTCTCCACTCACAAATCGAGTTCCAGCCGGGCTCTTGACCCAGCCCCGGCGGCCTCGCCCTGCTCTGGGACGCACTGGTGGCCAAGTGTCTGCCGCCGCCCCACCCTGTCCGTCTGCTGCCTGGGTGAGGGCTCCCGGCTGAATCTGAGTGACGCCGTGAGCTTGAAGTGGTCACTGCACAGCCGTGAAAAGGATGGAAGGGTGCGTGGGTCTCGCCTGGTGTGGGTCTACGCCTGTGGTCCTAAGCACAGGAGGCTGAGGCAGGAGGGTGGCCAGGAGTCCGAGCTCGGCCCGGGCTATGTACAGAAATTCAGTCTCAGGAAAACAAACAGACTTGTTGGTCTTCAGTCCCAGTGGGCAGTGGGAGGGTGACACAAAGCCACAGGTGGCTGTGGGCAGCCAGGTGGGCTGGCAAGTGGCCGCTGACTCCCTGTTCTGGCCTGCCGGGGTGAGGGCTTCCTGGGCTCTGTGACCAGCACATTACCTTTGGCCTGAGACCAACACGGGTGGCCTTTATGTGTGTGTTAGAACACACAGGAAGCTCACCATTTAACCTTTTCTTTTCTTTTTTTGTCCTTTTGAGGCAGGGTCCCTCTATGTGGTTCAGGCTGGCCTTGAGCTCACTGTGTAGCCCAGGCTGGTCTCGAACTCGCAACAATCCTCCTGCCTCAGCCTCCCGAGTGCTGGGATGACAGGCTGAGCCACCACACTTAGCTAAATTTTTAAAGGCTGGGTACGCTTGTAATCCCACCTACTTAGAAGTAGGAGCATTGCCAAGAGTTTGAGGCCAGCCTGGGTTACAAAACAAAATTCTGTCCCCCTACCTATGAACAAACAAAAACCAACTAACCAAACAACCCAAAACGCCAACTACTCAGGGAGCTGAGGCAGAAAGATCACAATTTTGGTCAGTCAGGGCAACTCAACTTAGCAAGACCCAGTCTCTAAAAATAAAAATAATCCTCAAACTACACATCACAAACGAAAAATGAGATGGTTTTAACTATATCCAAAACAGAGATTTCTCTTTGATTTTCTCTTTTTTTAATTTGGGAAAAAAAAAACCAAATAACCTCACAGAGCTGATCTATAACGGTGTCCTGTGAGGGCAGTGGGCCCCGGGAATGCTGACAAGGGTCCTGCAGTGTGTACTGCTCTGCCTGGTGAAGGGGGCGGGCGGGCGGGCAGCTCAGTGGTGAGCGCCCCTGGGCAGGCACAGAACCCGGCTTCCACCCCCACCCAGCACTGCAACAACACATAAAAAGTAACTGAGAAACTTGAACAGAGCCGTGTTTTGTGGTTTGAGAAAAAATTCAAATTGATTGGCACAAGCCACCCATTTACATAAGGCCTTGCTCTCTGGCCTTAAAATAGCAGAATCCAAAGTTCCTTCGGACATCTGATGGCCCACATAGCCAGAAATATTCTCACCTGGCCCTTGACAGGAAAGGCTCACAGATGCGTGTGTAAGGAGAGAAGCCCGTCAGTGCCAGGCAAGGTCCCGACACTCGGGAGGCTGAGGCAGGAGGGTCACCTCGAGTTTGAGGCTGGCCTGGGCTACACAGCAAGAAATTAGAAAAAGAAACCAGGGCAAAGCATGCTCAGCCCAGGCCATACACAAAACAGGCAGCAGGCCAGCTTAGAGAGCACAGGCTGCCAATCCCAGTGAGGCACATGCTGAGAAGGCTGGACACTGCTCGCAGAAAAATACACACAAAGAAATCTCACAGAGGAGTCTGATTAAGGACACAAGGAGGCGGCCAGTCCCACCACAAGCAAGGGAAATGCAAATTAAAACAATAAAGACTTACTACTCGGTACTAGGGCTGGGCAAATAAAATCAGCAGGCCACACACACGCCTGTGATCCCAGCACTCGGGAGGCTGAGGCAGGAGGGTCACCACAAATTCGAGAGCAGCCGGGACTACACAGGAAGTTCAAGGTCAGCCTGGACTGCATAGCGAGACTCAGTCTCCAAATAAACAAATAAAAACCACTGTGCGCGGAACAAATGAGGGATGGGGTTCAGGGCAGCTTCCCTAGGCAGTGCTGAGCCCGAGGTTCCACCCAGCACCACAAAACAACAGGGTGAGGGAGGGAATAAGAACCAGAAAGAGGTTTGTTTTTCTGAAACATAACACCATGTAAGGAAATTAAACGCACAGGGCATATTTTTCAAGGACACCAAACATCTAAAGCAGCTTGGGAAGGCGGAGGCCAGGGAAGACATTCCAGGGCCAGAAAGCTCCAACCGGGGTGTGGGGTGCGGTTCAGCTGTTTGGAGGCTGAGGCAGGAGGATCGCGTGGGGCCGGGAGGGAGTTCAGGGCAGAGTGAGCCCCACAGAGCGCCCCGGTCCAAACGAAAAGCATAAAGACGAACAAAGGAACGGGGCAGGCTGGGGCTGGTGGTGGGGCCCGCGGGGCGGTGTGGCAGGGGCTGCTGAACTATGTCCGGGGTAGTGTTTACACCCCTCCTTCCTTTTTCTTTTCTGGTGACTGAACCCAGAGTCTTTGTCCTCACCCCAGCTACCACCCGAGCCTCTCTCTCTCAGTAGGCCAGGGTGGGCTGGCACTTGGCATCCTCCTGCCTCAGCCTCCCCTGTGTTGCCATTACAGGTGTGCACCACCATGCCTGGCTCCAACTTTCTTGTTTTTGTTAAGTCTCTTACGTACTCTTAAATCCCAGATAGTGTGGGATCTGTAGCTCAGTGGTAGAACATGTGCCTAAAATATACAAGGCCTGGTTGGGGTGTAGCTCAGCGACATGCTGCCTGCCTGGCAAACACAAGGCCCTGAGTTCGATTCCCCCCACTGAAAAAGAAAATCATAAAAGACGAGAAAAAAAAAAGCCCCTTTAAAATAATGGTAAACAATACTGCCGACAATTCCCGTCAGCTCTGTGGGTGGCTGTGAGAAACGTGTACTGTTAAATCACACACTAAACGAACGGGAAGCCAGGCCTGGGACCACACAGCTGTAATCTCACACACGGCAGGCCGAGGCAGGAGGACTGCATGTTTGAGCCCAGACTGAGCAATGCTAGCTCAGAATTCAAAAATCAAAAGGGTCAGGGTGCAGCTCAGAGGTAGGGCACTTGGGCAGCATCGCCCAGCACTGGACAAAGATAACAAAGTCCAAGCATACAGTAGGCGCTCCATAAATGCTGAACGTGGGGAACGGGATGGGATGGAAATGAGCAAAGCCACTCCAGCCCCACCCAGGCAACCCACAGACGGGCGCTGGGTGCAGTGTGAGGGAGCGAGCTGTGGTACAAGATTCCACACTGCCCGGAGGCAGGTGGGCAGGGCCTCCCGCTGCAGGCCAGAGCTGTAGGGTGGGTGTGTGGATTCCACAGGAACAGAGGGCAGGGTCTCCACCTGGGGCTTCACTGCAGTGGGACACTGGGCCCCGTCTTCTCTCCAGACGAGGGTCTCACTACGTGGCTCAGGCCAGCCTTGAACTCACTGTGTGTCCCGCAGGCCCTGGAACTCACAGGGATCCTCCTGCCTCAGCCTCTGAGCAGAAGCGTGGACTGAGTACTTCCTGTACACAGGATTCCTACAGGTTCTAGGGGGACAAGCAGCACGGGGAGGGGCAGCGGCGAGGTGATGTCCTCACCCGGGTCTGACAGGAGGAAGTTGAATTGGAACGGGGAGCCCGGCTGGCATGTGTCCCGTCTCCTCTGGCCCTCCTTGGGCCAAGCCCTAGGGCAGCGCTCAGGCTGCCGGGCCAGGGCTCCAGAACAAACAGCTGTCCTCATGAGGATGAGTCACGCTGCGCTTCTCCCTGGGCCCGGAGCCGCGGTGGCGGGCAGCTGGCTCTCTGCACGCCCAGCACCCTCTTTCCGGGCAGAAGGATTCATCACTTCCTCCAGGGGCACCCTTCCTCGGCTGGGGCTCCAAGATCCTAGCAGTGAGGGACCCGAATAAGGGCCCCCTGGGGGTTTTCCTGTTGTTTTCTGAGACAGGGTCTCCCTACGGGGTGCATGCGGGCTGTCCTTCAACTCTGGGGTGATCTTCCCAAGTGCTGGGATTGTGCCACCATGTGCAGCCATCCTGGGGATTTTTACTGGTGCTGTCTGAACGAAGGGGCTCACCTTGCACTGAGCTGCCAGGACAGAGTCCTGGAACAACAGGACCTCCTTTCTCTACCTGCCTGAGAGAGAAAAACCTCCCGGGCAGACAGCAGCAAACTGTGAAGTGACAGATTCCTGATGGTATCTGACCACCTGGATGCAGCCTTGCCTGAAGCTGTCGCTTAATTATATAAACAACTCATTTCCTTCCCACTGCTTCTGAGATAAGGTTCCTTCCACTTCCAGGTCAACTCATGGCAATTCTCCTGCCTCAGCCTCCCAAGTGCTGGGATGACAGCTGTGCACTACTGCGCCCGGCTCCCAGTTACACAGATGAAGACACAGAGGTGCAGTGGTCCGGCTGGTGGGAGGCCAGGGCTGGGGCTGGACCTGGGTGTCCCAGGGTCCAGGCTAAGCCATGATAAGCAGAGAGATGCCACCCACGCCCCCCTCGCCGCCCACGGCCGCTCACCAGGGGCAGCCTCGCAGCTCCGCTCCGTGATGCTGATTTTCTTCACGACGTGGACATTGCCGGTGGGCGCAGCAGGCACCGGGCACATGGTCTCCACCACCTCGTGGCTGCAGAACACTGCGGGGCTCTCGGGGTCCCCAGGTGTCACCAGGGCCCGCAGGCCTGCCCCATAGGGCTCCAGGCTCTGCGCTCGCTGGGCGGGCGCCCCGGTGGTGGTGCTGGCCGCCACCTCCACCTCCCGCGGCCCCTCCACCACTCGGACGGTGTCCACACGGACCGGGGTGTCCGGTGGTGGCCAGGCCTGGGGCTGGGGCTCGGCCTGCCGGGCCTGGGCCACCTGCAGGTCCTGCAGCGCTTTCTTGAGCTGAGTCTCCAGCACAGCGACCTTGGCGGCCAGGGCTGCCTCCCCATCAGGCAAGCCCAGGTCCCGTTCTCGAACCCAGGTGCCCACGCTGCGGGTGTCGAGTGCTGCGGGGTCTTCTGCGGGTTCGGGGAGGTCAAGGCAGAGCTCGCCGCGGGCCCGGGCGCCAGTGGGGTGGCCCAGGAACTTCTGGCTCTTGAGCTGCACGGCGAGCTGCCTCTTCTCCTCCTGGAGCACCGACAGCTTCACCTGGAGCACGGGGATCAGCTTCACCTGCTCCTCCAGCTGCCGCAGCTTCCGCAGGGCGCCTGCCATCTGCTCCCGCACGTGCGCCAGGTGCCCGGCGCTGGGAGGCACCGGTGTGGACAGTCCTGAGCCGCGTGGCGTCACCGGGGGTGGCAGCCCCACGCCCACCAAGGAGCTGGTGGAGCCCGCGGCGCTGGGGGTCAGGGAGCCCAGGCCCGAGGGCGCAGCCGCCTGGTCCTCCAGGCGGCGCCGGGCGTCCAGCAGCGTCCGCTCCACACGAGGGTTGAAGCCGCTGGCGCTGCGCGTCTCCAGGGTGCCGTACTGCGGATAGAAGCCCCGGCCACAGTAGGAGTATGCAGAGTGGCGGCTGTCCCCGCTCGCGTTGGAGCACAGCGACTCTGTGGACGTCCACCAGGAGCCCGGGCCGCGGGGCAGCGAGCCCAGGCGGGGACGGCGCTGCATGGCCACCCGCCGCAGTGTGTGGCCCTTCTCGATGTCATCCACGTATTTGAGGAAGTCCAGGTCCAGGCGGTAGCCGTAGGGTGTCTCCACGGAGTACGGGGGGTCAGGCTCCTTGGCCGGAAAGGGGGGTGGCGAGGTGGGGCCGGGGGTCCCTGGGTTGGTGGAGAAAGACCAGGGCTTCTAGATACTGTTGTCTCCCTTTTCAGGGTGCAGAGGGGCCCCAGGAACAGCCAGGGACAGCTGTCTCCACTACCCGGCCCCCTCCCTCCGTGGACCCTCAGTACTGGCCGTGTCCCCTCCCGAGTCCCCCAGGCCTGGGTGCTTTCTGCTGTCTCTAAGCCCCTCTGGCAAGACTGCTCCCCGCCTCGCCTCAGGTCTCCGAGGCAGAGCTGTCTCCTCCCCGGGACCGAGGGTCCCCAGACCAGGGTCCTGTCTCCGGCGCATCTCGGGGTCGGGCCACCTCCTCCCTCACACCTACGGGGTGGGACGCTGCCTCCCGCTCAGACCCCTGACCTGGGAACGGAGCCGGGGCGTGCAGCACCTGGGCCATCCTCTCCTGGGTCCGCAGGAGTCGCCTGGGGCCTGCGGGTCACACTGCGGGAAGCACCGGCTGAGGCTGAGCTGGGGACAGGGGTGAGGGGACAGGGTCAGGCTGCGTCTACGGGGCATTGCGGGGAGAGGGGGGCCCGCCTTCGGTGCACACCCAGCCTGGTCGGCCCAGAGGCCTGGAACAAAGAAACCAAGGCTCCCTGCCTGTGTGCACATCTGTCCAGCTGCTGGACAGCCTCCAGCTGTTCCCGCAGCCCTGCCTCCACATGGCCCCGGCTGGGGGCCCCAAGCCCGAAGGCCCCCTCCTTCCGGGACCCCCCCACAGCCGGCCGAAGCTGGCCACAGGGTAAGATGGGGCCGGCTGGGGAGGGGCAGGGCTGCTCACCGGACACTTTCTGCAAGGGTCCAGGAAGGACAGACACACAGAGGGACAAAAGGAGGAGACGGTATGGGGGGTGGAGGGCAGGGACCCCTAAGCACCCCCAAAGTGAGACAGCTGGTCAGGCCAGGCCCCATGATGGGGGGGCTAGGGAAAGTGGGGGAGGTGGCAAGCCTTTCCCCTTTATGGAAACAATTTTCTCTAAAAATAAACAGTTTCGCTGCCCGCTATACAGAACTTCCTGCCCCCCCAGGATGTGTCGGAGCTGGAGGGCGCAGCAGGGATACAGGGCTGGGGCGGAGGCCCGGGAAGTCCTGGGGGGAGGGAGGAAGTAAGCGGGGTGCCCAGAGGTGCCAGGGGAGAGGGACAATCAGGGCCTCTCACTGAGGGCGCCTCCAGCCTTGGAGACAGGCCAGGGCACTTTGGCCCCTGACGCCCGGCTGAGCTCAGCCGGTCCCTCCTGACGGCTGGCAGACTCTGCTGGAGGGACCTGTCCGGCCTGGGAGTCCTGGGCAGCGGTACCTGGGAGGATGGCCAGGCGAGGCCCAGGCGGGCATGAAGGCTGGGGCTGGGGCACTGAGGGTCTCCGTCCCTCGTCTCCTCCGGCTGGCTTGGTCTCTCTCTGGTCGCCTCTCCACACTCTGTCCTTCTCTGTGCGGCTCCGCGTCTCTGTCTCTGTCTCTGTCCCGCTGCGTCTCTCTCCACGTCTCCCTCCCTGTCTCTTCACGTCTCTGTCTTTGCTTCACTGGCTGTCACCACCTGGAACACAGTCACCAGGTCACCGATGGTGGGAAATTTGCTTTTCCATCTGCAGGGTGCCCTGGGCAACAGGAAATTGATTCAAAATGTTTTTCTGGGGAGCCAAGAGGAGGGGTCCAAAGGCAGCGGGAGGGGAAGACCCCGCAGTGGAGGTGGGACGATGTTCACAACTGTGATAATGATACTAGTAATAATAATGATAATAACAACACCAGGGCTGACTTTGTTTTTGCCAGTGCTGGGAACTGAACCCAGGACTCTTGTACCACTGAGCCACAGCCTCTGCCCCTTTATCCTCTTTTATCTGTTGAGTCAGGGACTTACTCAGGCTGTATTCAAACTTACCGTCCTCCTGCCTCAGCCTCCCCAAGTATAGGGATTACAGGCACATGTCACCAAATCCAGGCAAGGTTTTAATTGTCAGGCTGCGGATTTAGCTCAGCGGTATAAGTTCCCGCCTGGCAATTGTGAGGTGCTGAGATCAATCCCATACCAAAACAACAACAACAAAAACGTTTTAATTGTGACAACCTGTAAGGTTGGTTTACAAATAGGGATTCCAAATTGACACAAGTTCAATGACCTGCCTGGGGTCAAGCAGACGGTGTGGAAACCGCTGTGCCTGGTTTTGAGCCCAAGCTCCGTCCCCACCCCTTACCCATTTCTCAGACCCGAAGACTGAGGCTTGGGGGGGGTCATCAGTCACAGACCACCCTCCATGCAGCGGGGTGAAGGGAAAGTGTGGGTGGCGGCAGAGACCCCTCTTTTGCTATAGGTTCCCTAGAACACACAGCGAGGGCAGGACAGGTAGAGGAGTTCAAGGCAAGGGCGCAGGGTCTCCCCAAAGCGGCTCTCCAGAGCCCGGCCATTTCCGCTGGTTTCCTTGCCCTGCTCCTGCCCCCGGGACCCCGCCCGTGCAGGGAGAAGGCGGGGCCCGCGGGGTCCCCGCTAATGGCAAACAGCTGCGGCTCCCCCCGGCGCCCCGGCAGCCAGGCAAGGCCCGGACGCCTCCCCGCCGCTGGGGGCTGGGGACAGGGCAGCGGGGGACGGGCCATGAGGGGCGGGAGGGGGCCGGGGCCGGGCCAGAACGGGAGCCCCGCAGGGGCGCAGGGACCGCGGCGCTCCGAGCCCCCCAAGTTGGGCACCGAGTGTGGAGCTGCCGGGAGCGGTCCCCGGACACCCGCGAGGTCCCGCCCAGGGTGGGAAGGGGGAAGGGTGACGACCACACCAGAACCGCGAACCGGCCTGAGCCCGACCCAGCCCCGGGTCCCACTCGCCTGGCGCGCTCCAGCCGCCGTCCGTGTCCCGCCGCCCGGGCGTCCTCCGCTCGCCGCCGCCCGACCGCCCGGCCCGCTGGCCACGCCCCGGCCCGCTGGCCACGCCCCGGCCCGCTGGCCACGCCCCGGCCCGCTGGCCACGCCCCGGCCCGCTGGCCACGCCCCCAGAAGAACACGCCCACCAAGGCCACGCCCCAGGCTCGGGCGCACGGGCCCTGGGGTTCACGAGCGAAGTAGGGGCGGGGAAACCCAGAGGAGGGCTGCACACGCGGTCACCTGGGCGGCAGGTGGGTGTGTGCACGCCTGAGTTGGTTCGTCCTAGTTCTGTCCTCCCCGCTGTCCCCTCCTCGGGTCCCAGGGGCGGGATCCCCGCCGATGGCCCCCACCCCGTCCTCCGCGGCGAGCCCGCCGGGGGCGGGGACGCGGGGCGTGGCCGAGCGATGGGCGTGGCCGAGCGATAGGCGGGGCTGGCTGGGGTCCAGCGCTGGGAGGGCGCGAGGCTGACGGCGGCGGGAGGTCACCCCTCCCCTCCCCCCACCGCGGCCAGGGCTGGAAGCTGCCCAGCGCCGGCCTGGTACACGGTGGCGTGACCGCTGCGGGGAGGGAAGGGGGCTGTTTCTGCGCAAGGCTGCATGGGCGGCTGCAGGGGCCTGGGCCACAAAAGCCAGGTAGACTTGGACCCCAGTCCTACTTAGGTCAGTCTTTTACTGCGCTATGCCTCAGTTTCCCCATCTGCTGAATGAGGCTATTCATTCATGTCGTGTACCTGATAGAGGAACAGAGAAGATCCCTTAACCTGAGCAGGGGTCTGATGGAGGTCCTCAGGGACAAAAGCCCATAATCTGGTGGTTTCAGCTGGGTGTGGTGGCACTCACCTACCAGCCCAGCACTGGGGAGGCTGAGGCAGGAGGATTGCTGCATGTTCAAAGCCAGCCTGGACTACATGGGGAGTTTAAGGCCAGCCCAAAGTACACAACACAACCCTGTTTCAAAAAACCCACAAAACTAGGTGTCTCACATTTTTTTGGGGGGGGACTGCTAGACACCAAACTTGGGGTGCATTCTGTCACTGAGCTACACCTCTAATTCAGGGAGTGGCCTACATCTGCATAGAACTTTCTGGAAGCCACTTAGTACAGGCCAAGCACGGAGCAGGCACTTAATAAATATTAGTAATATTCCCAGATGATATATATGAATTATTTATGTCACCTTCCCCACTAGGATGTCAGCCACAGCAGGCAGGGATGTGTGTCTGTCTGTTGGCACTAAACTGTCCTCAGTACCCAGGAAGTTACTGGATTTGGAGACAGGGTCTCACTATATAGTTCAGGCTGGCCTTGAACTCATGGTGATCCTCCTGCCTCAGCCTCCCGAGGGCTGGGATGACAGGTGTGAGCCACCACGCCTGGGTCTTTAGCTCCTCTGGGAGGTTCCCGTGTGTGAGTGGACGTGGGAAGACGACTTGTGCGTGCAGCGCAAATGGACTACATGCTTCACACAGGCCGTATATAAAACCGTTTTAAATTAAGACAGGGAGGAGGTATCAGTGCACACCGAGGGCCCGCCCCCAGGATGACGGTCACCCGCAGCCACAGCAGTTGCAGGAGTGCCTCTCAGCAGGGCACAGCCCAGCCCAGGTGCTGGTCCCTGGTGTAGCTTTGGTCGCCTTGGGCTCAGAGCTCTGCCTTGCGGAAGCTTGCTCTGTTCAGAGAGTTCCTGGGGGAGGGAGGGGACTCAGCATGACCCGGGGCCCGCCAGAGCGAGGGGCCTGCTCCCTCCTCTGGGGGTCCTAGGACCTCTCCCACCCCCTCTGGGTCTGTCCTAATCTGGTTGTGGGATTCCCAGGTTATCTCAAAATTCCCTGCAGGCTGGCCGTGGTGGCTCCTGCCTGTCCTCCCTGCGCTCAGGAGGCTGAGGCAGGAGGATGGAGTTCAAGGCAGGCCTGGATTACACAGGGAGACCCTGTCTCAAAAGAAAGACGACGCCTTGGCCTGGTTCCCGTTGTGCTCCGCGGGCTGGGGGCCGGGGCGGCCACCTGAGGCCAGGGGCTGCGGGGGCCAGCAGCTGCGGCAGGCGCTGGGTGAGCAGGGGCTGCAGGGCCTCGCGCAGGCGGCCGTAGTGGCGCTCCAGCTCGCGGTGGTACTCCTTCTGGTCCGGCCCGACCAGCGCCTTGTTCTTGCGCAGGGCGTCCTCACACCTAGGAGCCGGGCGACCAGGGACACTCAGGGGCAGGTGCAGGGCAGGGCGTGCAGTGGGAGGGGTGCCCCCCCCCCCCGATTGAGGGCGTGGCCCTGGGGGGGAGGTCGGGCGGGGGGGGGCGGCCTACTTCTTGCAGAAGTCCTTGAAGCAGAGCCGAAGCTTGTTGTGATGCCGGAAGAGCTTGGGGTCCTCTGGGATGTCTGCCAGGAACACCTGGGCCACCTCCAAAGGCCCCTGTGGGGGAGGGGCCGTGAGGACGGGCGCGCGGCACCCCGAGGTCCCTGGGGTGGCCCTTGAGCCCTACCGGCCGGCCGAACCTGGTTGACAGTGGGCCCCACCGAGCCCTGCAGCACCATCTGCAGCATCTTGCAGTCGGGCGGGTCCTGCTCCGTGGCGAACGCCAGCTCCCGTGTCTTCTTCTGCATGTCCTCGATGGCCACTTCTACCGGGGTCAGCACCGTCTGCACAGGAGAGGGAAGGTGCGGTGTCCCGGCCAGCCAGCCCGAGGACACTGTGCCCCAAGTGGGAGTAGGAGAGGGGCCCAGGAGGGTGGCAAGGGACAGCCCTGGGGGGTCTGTGTGTGTGTGTGAGGTCTCAGCAGGTAGCCAGGGCTGGCTGGCCACCTCCTGCTCAGCCTGCTCGGTGCCGGCCTGCTGCAGAGGCGGCGCTCGGGCTGCGGCAGGGCCCGGTTAGGGTGCAGCCTGGGCCCGGGGCTGGTGCCCGCCCACCTCCTCGCGGTGGCACACGCGGATGCGGGTCTTGATGTAGGGGAAGGCGTGCTCCGTGCTCAGCAGCGTCTTGCGCTTGTGCTGCTCGTGCAGCTCGCCGTGCGCGCGGCCGTCGGGCGTGAAGGGCGTGCAGAAGAGGAAGGTGCGCAGGCCGTAGTTGCGGTCGAAGTAGGTCACGCGGTCCTTGAGCTCGTACGCGTCGAAGTGCGGCTCCACGTAGGTGATCTGGATGTAGGCCTGGGGCGGGGGTGGGAGTGAGGGAGGTCCTGCAGCGTGGGGCTTCGATTTGGGGGCTCTCAGGACTGAGCTATTCCTCCATCTCCAGCCCGCTTACTTTGATTGTATTATTTAATTAAAAAAGAATTTTTTAAGACAGTCTTGCTACGCAGCCCAGGCTGGCCTTGAAGTCATGGCGTCCTCCTGCCTCAGCCTCCCAACTGACAGGCGAGTGCCATCACAGCTGGCTTCTTCTAATTTTTAGTTAAAATAAGCTCTCCCTAAGTTGCCCAAGCTGGCCTCTCACTTGAGATATTCCTGCCTCGGCCTCCCAGGATTGTGCCACTATACCCAGCTTCTAAAATAGAACTGTAAGGTCCCCAGCAACCAGTCCTTGGAATCTTGTTGATTATCGGGTTTGGGGGCTGGTCGGGAAACCCACCTTCTGTGGGTCAAGCTTGGATTTGTCCACGGGGTTAGAGTCTTTGATAATCTCCACTATGTCCTCTCCAAACCGCTCTGTGTAGAACTCCTAGGGACACGGGGTCAACTCACTCAGGGCGCAGGGGTGCAGCCCCTACTCCAGCCCCTGGCACCCCGAAGCCTCATCGCATCGCAGGCCTGGCCGTGCCTCCAGCCGGTGCGAGATCTCCGCCAGCTTCGTGATGGACGGCTCCTTGTACACGAACTCCTGCTCGTCCAGGTCCCCGAAGCGAGCGCCGTAGAAGCCCACGCGGAAATACGTCCCGAACACGCGCTGGGGCTGTGAGGGGCAGGAGGCATTGTGGGGGCACCTTTCAGGGTGTCCCTGGCCTGGTGACAGGGTCTAGATGCCCCTCAGGCGGGAAGCGGACGTGGGCAGGGGGCCCTGCCTTCACCAGGTCGGGGTATGAGGCCTCAGGAACAGACACGCCGGCGTGGACTGAGCCCTCACCCTAGCGCTGGGAGGCTGAGGCAGGAGGATCGCGGTGAGCTGGAGGCCAGTTTGGGCTACACAGTGGGCTACACAAGGGCATTCTGAACTGCACAGGGAGACTGTCTCAAAACAATAAAATAAACACAGAAGAACAAAAACCAGAAAACGAAGCCGGAGGGCCCTGAAAGTACTGGGGTGTGGCCCTGGACCCCAGCTGATAGCTGTACCCTGCTCTTCCCCCCAGCCTCTGTTCAACACAATCCTTTTTCTTTTTGTTTGTACCAGGAATTGAACCCAGGACCTTCACGCTGAGCTACAGCCTCAGCCCATTTTTGTTACTTTATTCTTCTGAGATAAAGTCTCCCTGTGTCGTCCAGGCTGGGCTCCGACTTGTGATCCTCCTGCCTCAGCCTCCCCAGTGCTGAGCTCACCATACCCGGCTGGACAAAGGTTCTGGCTCTAGGGGCCCGAGCACTCCTCTTCCCAGCAGCCTCTGCATCGCTAAGTTTGGAAAGAGGGAACCCCCCCTTCACCCAAGAGCACCCCTGCATGGCCAGAGAAGTGGGGTGACTTCACGAGCACTCACCATGGCACATCCGGGCAGGGTGGAGCCGACGCGATGGGGCGCAGGCGGCGGCAGGGTGGACAGAGACAGTCATGGGGGGATCAGCAGTCAGCCCCCCTGCTGGTCCTGCTGCCCTAGGAGACTTTCCAGGGATCCCCGAGGGAGGGGCCGCCCCCCCCCCCGCCCCACCCCGCCCGCCTGCCCACCCGGGCCCTGGGCTCCTGCCATCTTTGGCCAGAAAATTCTCCCTAAAGTAAGCGCTACCTAAAAATAGAAGAGAAGAAGCAGGATGGGGGGGCATTAACCAGAGATGGGGAGCAGAGATCTCCCCCGACGGGGGAGGGCGGTCAGGGAGGCGGGGACAGAGGCTGAGAGAGACGCAGAGATCTCGGGAGACGGTCAGAGATGGGCAGAGACAGATGGAGACCCGGCGGGGGCGGGGCGGGGCGGGGCGCCCCCCTTGCGGCAGGAGGGGGCGTCCCGGGGCGCCCACACGGTGACTCACTGGCTGCCGGGGGGGGGGGGGGGGGGGCCGGGAGGCGCGCCCCGGGCAGGGGCCGTGTCCTCGCGCGACCCCTAGTGGCCGCCGGCCCCGCTGACCGACCCGGGCTTCAGGGTCCCGGGCTGGGGGGGGGGGGGGACGGGACTCACCTCCCAGCCGGAGCTCTGCGGGAGAAGAGGAGTCGGGGTGAGCAGAGACGCGCGGGGCGGGGCGGGGCGGGGCGGGGGCCCCCCGGGCCCACCTGGTGCGCGATCTTGGTGAAGGCCTCCTGCAGCTTGCCGTGCACGGCCGCCAGCTTCTTATAGTCACGGTGCGCTTCCAGGATGGGGGTG